TCATAAAAATCTCTTTATTGCATATGTCTTATTTTTAAAAAAATGCCAAGAATAAACCATTTCCACCAGATTGTGTTAAAAATTAGAAGTAGTCTGTCCCTCTCAATGCAACCATGAAATCATGAGTGACCAACAGTCAGGCTGAGAGGATGCAAGCATTTAAACAAATCAAAAATGTAAATAGTAAAATATCTATGATATGTAGAGCCATAATTACCCATAGTGTTGGTAACACCTGTGGGCACTTGGAAAAATACATACATGTTTATTCCAAGGTTTTGTTGAAACTATCTAAAAAGAAATTAAGAAATCCAATTTTCGCTTTTTCTCTTTTATGATTTATGGCATCACAACTTTGTCATACTGCACAGAAGAAATGTTTTAGCTGAGTCTACTTCTAGCCGTGGTCGTGGTGTTTCCATGGAGGCGTGGGTGTTTACATTACGGTGAAAAATGAGCCCACAGAGAGTGAAAATGTGCCAAAAATCAAAAATCAAAAACCTGAAACTGTTTGGGGCACAGAGGATTAAACACAAATTTTTACCATCTGATGCATCAGATAACCTGAGACACATGCTAACGCCGGGTGTGAACCAATCAGGTGCATTTTCATGACATTCATAAGAAATGTCGTTACGCCGCTCAAGCTGTCATCTGGCCGGTATTGTGTTTCCTTCAAAACATATTTGCAGTTCAGTATAATAGATGTGTCACTGGCAGAAGTCGAGGTTGAAAAAGCAAGTAATACATATTATGGCTCTGACAAAAGAGCAGAGATCAACACACTGTCGAGGCACTTCTTTTGTGGTCTAATTAAAAAGGAACCCACGAGGTTCACACACTGTTTTGCTCACTCTGTTTCTCAGTAATACAAACAGTCCACTACTATAAATACTTCAGCAAACAGCTGCGAGGTGTAAACGTACAGAGAGAGAGAGAGGAAAGGAAGATATTCTCAGTAGAGCCACTTCTTCAGCTACCTTTACACCACTGGTCATGGCGGGGAGAATGGCCCATGCAAAACCACACATCCAAAACAGAAGCTGGTTATGAAGGTCAAGTCTGTGACATGAATGGATGGGTGACCTCATGTTATCAAACCTGGAACAAGTTAATAGCTGTTGTTTTTGTAGTTGTACTCTAATGTCAACCTTAGCCGGGGAGATTTGGATGGATCACCTGTCGATATATCTGCCGCTTACGGTCGAATTTGACCAACACTTTGGCATTGGAGGCTTTTATCGCTCCACAGCTGGGCAGCATTTTGCCTTCTCCGAGTCTGTAGATCTGCAAATGCCGCCCAGCCGTACCTGTAGAAGCTGCAGGAGCCGAATTAAATGAATGATTCTGACGCAGCAGATTCATCAGATCAGTTTTCTAACGATGACAGAACTAGACGCTGGGATGTTTTCAGAGATCCTTCATGCTGAAATGCCTTTAAATTACTGGGGTGAATGTATTTACGTGACTGGATATACTTGTGCGGCTGCTCTCGGAGCATGTGTTTGAAACACAACACAGAAAGAGAAGAAATCCAAACAGATTGAAACTCAGCCTTGCATCAACACTGCAGTCGCAATTGGAGCTGCAGAGCGAATTGAGCGTATAGAGCCAGTATATATTTACAAAAGAGCAGCTGTTTTGAGTGAGCATTACCAAGAACAGCTGCGCGACTGGAAGTGAAATAGTGGAATCAGATGCAGATGTTGCAGCTAAAAATAGACCTCGGCAAATTCCCACGTGCCTTGAAGTGAAGAAAAAAACAACAGCAGCTTGGAAGTAATACTAAAATATCCCCAAACAAAAAAAAAAATTAAATGAAAGCAATTACGGGAATTAAAGGGGGGGGGACATGTGAACTTCTGCTCCGGTAGATTTATAAGTGATCCAAACCTCCCACTGCTATATGGCTGTTGCCCAGCAAGCGCATGAAAAAGAAAATAACTGGTTTCTTCATGTGCCATGCACTGGCAGCAGTTGCCTTTTAGGGTCTCCAGTACAGAACAGAAAAAATAAAAAATAAAAATTAATCCAGTTGGAAGTGGCACCATGCAAAGACTGTGAGGGCTGCATCCCCACCTAACTAGGCCAAACACTATATATTCAGGTCAGTCATGGATCCTGAAATGTGACACCCACTAAACCTGGCAGTGGAAAAGGAAAGATAGAGGCTGACAGGGAGAGAATGAAATAAAGAAATAAGAGGAAATGTGCAACAAAGATGAAGGAAGCAATGGAGGAGTTTGCAATATGAATAAAGAGGACAGATGAGGAGACAATAAGTAAAACAGGGACACGCATATAAAGTGAAAATTAAACTAAAAATGAAGTCAGTTTTTTTCTTTGTTGAGCCACTTACTAAGAAACAAAGTTATCTCTGAGCTAGACGCTCTTTTTTTTTTGCTAAATCGTGACATATTGAACTTTTTAAAAAATGCAGCAGCATCTTAATGAAGCATCACTGATTTTAAGCATGCTACACTTTCCTTAAGATATCTGTTTTGCATATGAAGGAAACCCTAATTTTCAACTCATTTATTTCTCATTTGAGCACATACGGAAAGCGTCCGGTTTAATGGTCTAAAGCTCAGCTACAGAGAACAGCACACACAGATGAGGAATTAGGATTTAGTGGTTTTGTGTGTATTCATAATTTTTAAGAAAATGATTTCCTAGAAACACACACAAAAAAAATAAAATCTGGAAAAAAAAAGCTCATTATCTGGCAGTGATTTTTCTGTCCTGGTGCTAAATCAACCATAGCTGTCTACTACTAGTACTACTACTACTTCCATCTGCGTCAACAAAAAGAAAAAAAAAACACCTTTTCTATTCTTTCCTGTTAATTAAATTTAAAGTTAGAGCAGGTTTTACGCTTCATTGTTAACAAATCCCATCAAAACAGATGCCTTCTCGTTCCAACTCTTCCTCCATGTTGGCGGCTAAAGCTCTTTAAAAACCGGCTGCAAATATTTGGTTTTAATTTTATTTTTTTAAAACTTTGCACACCTGAATGAGCGACAGGTGCGTTGGAGGGACACAAAATGAAGAACTCCCACGCGCCGTCTCGCTTGCTGCTGAAATATTTATTAAATTTCTCTGCTTCGGTCTGTCCGACCTTCATCAGGTATCCCTCATTTTTTAATTTTGAAAAGAGGCCAAGCGACGCTGCAGCTGGCGTCGTAGTTTCTACCAGATGGTCCTCCCTGTTCTCTGTCGCAGATTATTTTTTAGGATGAAGCGCATTGTTAGCTATTGCAATTTTGCACCCACATCTTGGAAAGTTGCATATTAGTTAAACAAATAAACCATTTGGAAAATCTGTTTGTAGACACGTCCTCTTTCCTTCTAACGTATGCAACTGTTCTGCCACGATGTTTAAGTTAATGCAGTCAGATATCAATAAAACATGAGAAAATATGAATTCCTAACACTGATTCCGCTCCAGTTGTTTTCCTCGTATATGCATTTCTGACTTGCAGGACACCAGTGAATTTATTTCAAGTCTAGTTTGTCATTTCTGTGCGATTCGGTGCCGTGATGCGTACTTGGCTGGTGCAATCAACACCTCTTTGGAGGAGGAAGAAAAGGGCAGGCAAGAAAGTACTGAAAGTGAAGGTGAGAACAGGAGAAACAGAAGATGAAAGAAAATAGACGGCAATATTTTTGGAAGAAGTGGAGAAAGATAGTTGGATGTGATGTGAAGTTTAACCTCTTCGATAGCTCAGGTATAGTGGGATGGGGAGGCAGCCCAAGTTAAAAAAAAAAAAAAAAAGTGCACTTTGCACACAACACAACCACAGAGCAAAGGCCGACCGTGACCACCTGTAGACAAGCGTTTGGGAATAAATGGACAAAACTCTTGGGGTCTGACTTACGTCTGCTCTCGCTGAACTTGAGCAGCAGTAGTTACCTTATAGGGGCTGCTGAGGACCGTGAGAGCAGAATATCCTGAGATTTATCTGTAGCAGCAGAGCATCAAAGAGGAGAACAATGCAGCCTCTGCTTTGCTTTTTAAAAATACGGATTCAATAGTTATTGTTGATCTTGTGCAGCCTGGCCTTGGAAATTTTGTAAAGTGAGCACAATGTTTTAAAATGCAAATGAGGTGCTGTGTGCTTGAAAAGAACAGAGGCATTTTATTTACTTTATTTCAAGAGGAGAAGAATTAGGCGGGGAGGACATAACTGGAAACGACTTGAAATATTTTGTTAACAGCGAAAAGAAAGACTTCAAGTCACTAGTGTATGTTTCCTCCCAAAGTTTGACTTTTTCCCAACCTTTGAGGCACACGTGGCATGTTCTGTTTCCTTTTGGCATTTGTTAACACCGTTTAGTCCACAGACAGCATCCTATATTCCCATCCTGTGCAAAGAAAGCCTGCGATTGTGAACTCTTGCAGAGCGATGCCAAACTGCTCTTTGAAATAACTGCTCGGCGGCCATTATTCATCTATTATAATTAGTGTGCCAGTAAACACTGCCATTCCCAAAGCTTTCGTTGAGCTCCTTGAAAATAAATCGAATTTTAATCTTAAACGAGGGACTGTTTTTCCTCAGTGTAACCACTATTTAAACGCCTTGTGATAAAATGTCATATCCAATTCAGAATGCTGTAGTACAAACCGTTGCTGCTTTACTCAACACATCATATGCATTTTAGACTTTGTGCTCATTTAGAAGTTTTTCTTTGAGACTAGACTGTGTCTTGTCACCTCTATAGGTCACAATACTATAATACAGCTCCTGAGTTACTCTAACTGGGGACTGCATCGTGCATTTCCACTCTGTTACCAGCAGTGGAAACAGACAAAAAACAATACGCCTCCCACGTTCAGCAGACAGATGATTCACGTCAGACCCTACAGCCGTCAAGATTTTAATAAGCACCTAGCAAAAGTCAAGGATCCAAATAATAGAGCCTTTCTGGTCACGGTGGAAGCCCGTCTGCACTGTGGCTGGTGTGTGCGGATGCTCGGGGTGGGATGATGGGAATTGTACCTGGGATGGTGGTGGGCTCTACGGCTGTTCTGAAGGAGAGGATGCCAGGCTTAGATTTGCCCCGCTGATTCTCTGCCACCACACGAACCTCATACTCTGTATTCCAGTCCAGGCCGCTCAGCACTACATACTCACTGCCGCGGGGAAGGCGAATCTCTGGTTTCCAGTCAGATACATGAGTCTGAGAACGGAGAAAAAGAAAAAACAAAAAAAACAAAACTCAAAACTGGGCAACCAGAGCAAGATTGTGGTTATTCTCTTGACATACACAGGGAAGAATCTTTTGAGAATTACTTCGAAATGACTCAATTTCTCAAGCTGTTCGTTTTTACTGAAGATAAATAGACGACATTTTTCTTTCATAACCTCACAAATTGCCAAGTTTATTCTTCCAAATATGTTTCAGCGAAACTTGCTTCACAAGTCGTTAAGATGGTCCAGAAAAAGTAGCGCCATTTTAGCACGAGAGAAGATCATTTAATGTATATCGTACTAATCAATTATCATTGGCAAATGGTTCCAAAAAAGAGTGCTTCTTAAGCACTAAGGTTAGCAGTGATTTATGTAACGATACAGTTGGGACTGAGCTTCTAAAATGCAAATAAGTGATGCGTTTCTGGGCGAAATACGCCAAACGCCACCTTGTTTTTATTAGTTTTATATCTACTTATCTCTGTGCATCACACACAGTTGCAGAGGCATGACATGAGGAATTATGTTAACAGGCAAACACAGTAGAGGGGAAAGTGTTTCGTGCATGTATTTGTCACCAGTGTTCTAAAACAAGTCTCCAATTCTGTCTGTTCAGTATGAACTGCAGCTACAATCCTGCAGGTAGGTGCAGCTATTAAATTCAGTTAACGTAGCGCACTGATTGAGGCTGGCTGGCTGGTTGTCACAAAGGAGGAAAAAAAAAAAAGATTTCATCCACCAAAACTCAGTCCCTGGCAGCTGTCCTTCTGGCTTGGTGTTTAAATAAAATAAAATAAAAAAAAAAACCACACACAGTGTATCCTCTGGTGGGAAGCCAATTAGAGATCATGGCTAACTGGTTGGTGTGTCCACACTCCCCAGCGAAAACTGTTCATTTTAAATTGGTGCAAGTCACTCGGATGAACATAATTATATTTTAGAAGTGAAAAATTGCAGGGGTAAAAAACATGGACTTCCATGAAAGGGTCCAATAATGTGGGGTTGTTGGCAGGTGTATGAGACTAGAGGTTTATTCCTGCTTTTATTTGACTTGGTGAACATGTCCAAGCACTGTTCAGATTTTATTAAGCTTGTAAAGAGGTGGAGGGGAAGAAAAAACAACAACAAAAAACAGCAAAGTGGTATCAAGTTACCTCCTTGCCCAGTATACTCACAGCCTTGTATCTGACCAGGTAATGTTTAATGGGGGAACCACCATCGTCCTGCTTGATCCAGTTCACCTTGAGAGAATTGCCCCCTTGGACCTTGACCTCTAGTTTGGGGGCAGTGGGTTCCCCTGCACAGGACAAACCAAGCAATCGGGATTAGTTGACATAAACATGGCGGCATGCAATTAACCCGTAAACACTAGCAACCTGATGTCTTTCTTATCGTGCTCAAGCGTGTTTGTGACTTCAAGGTCTACGAGGCTAAATGAACTGCTGACTCAACTGTTGGATTTGATTGCCGGTTCAGTCTATAATGTTTTAAGGTTGCAATCACTGCAATCAGACGCCACTGTGGGATTAACGTTAATAATAGAGATGCTAGAAACAGAGAGTCTCCGTTTGCATAACAGATCAAAACAGCTTCAGACGTGGTTAGGGTTAGAGTTTGAGTTTGGGTTATGATTAAGCTTAACTTGAGAGATCAAGGAGTTAGGTGTCATAATTTATTAGTCTGTCTACACTGATCTTGGTACCTGTGTTTATCTTGAAGTGATGCTCCACCCAAATCAGTTTTGTTTTTTTGATTCCAAAAAAGTTTCTAGACAAGCGTTGATACGTCCGACGACTAAAATTGATTGAAGCAACCTCCAGTTTTTTTTTGTTCAAATGTCTAAATTTGATCTATGACGCGTTATGCGCCCCGACAAGAACCCGTGTGATTTATGATTCTTGTAAGTAAGTGAAGTCGGGACATTGTTGTAACTCCAACATTCGAATCCTCCTGAGTACAAGGTTGCGGTTGATGAATGAGGTCACCGAGTGTCTGACTTTGACACGGGAGACAAATGTTTGTCGTCTTTTTTCCTCTCCCCCGACGGTAAATGTTAGTTTCTTTCAACCATGACCACAATCTTTCCTTAACAAAGAAATGGCTTAACCCGAACCATCTGCTTAAACTGAGTTATGGTAACGGGGCACAACCAAACGGTGGTATCCTGCCCAAGGAGGCGTCAGACAGTTCACCGTGTATCCTGGTGTTTAATTTGGACAACTTGTTGAAACTTCAAGCCGACAGCGAGAGAGTTTCATTATAAAAGCCAGACTTTGGGTGGAATATCACTTTAAGGACGACTAGAAGGAAGGGGAAGTGCAGGCTGCCTCAGAACCACTGGCTGAGGTGTTGTTCTCCTTGAGGCTCCTCATTATCTGCTCTGTACTCCTGAGTAATGACTGCTGGGCCGCCGGATAATGAGCCTGTAGGCCTTGATTGGACATGTTACTCTATTACTTTTAATAACATTTACATAGTCTTGTGGGAAGGAAGGTCACTGTGTTTTGGCGTGTGCCGGCTTCTGCTCTCGTGCCACTGTGAGGGCTGTAAGGGTGGAGACTAACAACCCAAACTCATCAATTATGTACATATTGGTTACACACAGTTAGCCTTGTTATTATGTTATTAAATCCGCTAAATCATGATGTTACAGCCTTTGCCCTATGCTAACAATCTGATAACAGCCCCACAAGCAGGTAGCTAAGGGAAAAAAAAACCCCTCTTGTTTTATCTCAAGTTAATCAGAGATCAAAACTGATGCTTTTGCTGGAAAATCGCTGAACAAATAAAGAAATAAAACACCGGCATATATTCAGAATAGCCACAGAAAAAGAAAACATCATGTCTCTAGTACTTAACATTTCAAACATCAGTGTTAGTGGTTATTTAAATGAATATGGATGAAGGCACTTTTTCTTGAAGTAAGTAATCAACTGAGCACACTGCCTGAAAACTGCATTCCTCCAGACTGGAGTGAGCATGACAGAGGCTGAAAGTGAACCAGACAGCATTAGTTAGTAACAGCAGCAGTAACATGGTGGCAGGCAGACATTGGTACATTCAGCATTGTTATCCACAAGCATCATTCTGGGTTAGGTGAGTTTGTCTGAGGCTAAAAACAGAGAAAAGGGGGTGGTTAGAATGAAGAGAGAAAAAAATAACTCCATGCAGACTTAATCAGTCATTCATTCAGTCTGGTTATTTTCTGTGTAGTTGTTTCCTGTTGTTATTTGGAAACCATTTTCCTCGTGTCTACAGTTGCGTTCTATGTCCTGTCTTTCTGTTTTTTCCTCTTAAGTGCTTGTGCTTGGCTGTGTCTTGTTAGACCTTTATTAGTCTCGTCTCTTTCTCTCTCAGCTGCCAGGTCACTGCTTTCACTGTATTCTTCATGCCATAGCTTTCCAGAATTTGAATCTAACACCTTGCTTAGTTTTGGAATCTTTGCTTCAACTCTGTTCTGTAACTCTCGATCGCCTTACTTTTTTTTTTAACCCCAGAATAAGATTACATGCTGGAGACGCTTGCTTTAATAGACAGTCTCATATAAGTCTTGACTCATGACAAAATTTGAATCTGATCTCAAAAGGAGTTCACGGGCCTCCCTGACTTCATCAAGTAGCCCCTAAGTTAAGCCTAAAACAAGGCCTTCCTGCTAAAAACCTCCTCTGAAGTTGCCCTGCCTCCAGTCACCATTCCAGTTGGGTAGCCACCCATCTGCTAGCCTCATGCCTGGTTTAACTTCTAAATTGGCTAGCTATCAACCTACACCCCAGGTGGTTGGACTGGACCAGTTATGCCTCCGAGCCAGCTTCTCATGGCAATAACCACCAGGCCAGACAGCCTCCTGCGCACTAGCACCTGTTGGTCTGAGGCCTGCTAGCGTCCAGCCCATCAACCAGTTGGCTAGCATAGAACTTGCAAGCTTTCACACTGATCCTGTCCCGAGAAGCCACCTTAGATAAAGTCCTACAGAAAAAACGTGGCTCGTGATGATGATGTGTCTCTCAGCTTCACCATTCCTCGGCCTCTCCGCTGTCCTGTACCACGGAGGTTTTGCGCCAAGTACCTCGGCCGATGCCTTGTCTGCCTCCGAGTCTGCCTACAGCTTATCTGGCATCAACTTTGCGGCACCACATCTGACTCAGAGGCTGCTCCGGGGCTCTAAGCCTCTTCCACGGTTGGCCAAGACCAAGCCACTTCCATGGCTCCAGCCTACATCTTCCTTATTCCAGACTCTGTCCCTTACTTGTCCGACAACCTCTCTGGATCAGCCGACAGTTGGCCAACATCACACCTGATCGCCAGCCTGCCCCAGAGTTGGTCGTCCTGGTTGACGACCAGCTGGATCTAGAGCTGACCAACAACTCAAGGAGCATCTGTCTTCAGTGGCCCAACAGGTACCTGATATGTTTTGGTTTCCTGCCTTCAGTCTGCCTTGCAATCAACCTTAAATCTCAGTATGTGACTCTCCCTCCTTGGATTTGTCACCTCTGCCACCGACCTCCTGACCAGCCCCTAGAGGTCTTAGGCCTTCATCACTGATATCTTGGACACTGGACGCCTGGAGGGGTTCTGCCTTCACTGCCAGCCTTTTGTTCATCGCCCTGAGGTGTGCAACCCTCGCCACCTGTCTGTCTAACTGCCGGGCAAAGGTGTCTGGCTCATCTGCTTTCCAGTCGTCAGAGCCATCCACCCCAGATCTCCATTTCAACTGCTCTCCTGTCACTGGGCTGCCTGCCCGAGGTCTTCAGCTCATCTGCTCTCAGTTGCTGTTTAAAAATTCCAGGAGAGGAACTAGCTTTTTTTCTTGGAGAGGCATAATTTGAGAGATTCCAATCCCTGAATTCAAATCTCTGTCACATTCAAATTCTGACTTTATTCTTACCTTTGTAAGATCTCTGAGATTTGCATCATAGCCCAATCTTCTGCCATGACTGTCAAATACTAAGCACTTATGACAACGCTTTCATTTTGCATTAAAAGTAGAGCATTTTGCTTTTTAGTGTATTTGTACCGTACAAATTTAACTACCAAGGAGACATGACACCAAAGACACGGACACATGCAGGCAGGATCGACATTTTCTTTGGAAACGGCAGAACAAGAAGAAGGAGGATGCAACAAGAAAGAGGAAAGAAACTTGCATGCTGCAGTAATGCAATGGGTTGCTGTGAGTCCAATCAGTAAAACAGTGGGAGCTAAGTAGATCATTTGGGGATAAATAAGAAAAATTAGCTTTGTGGGTGACCATGTTTAACAGTGCGTGCAATGCAGATTGCAGTCAGTGGCACTTTGTGAGGCTGCTCTTAAGATGTTTTAAAAGAATTCATAATACGGAGACAAATAACAGAAATGGGGGAAAAAAAACAGTGTGACTTTTTTTTTTTTTTCTCCAAGCCTTTTTTATGCTAATTGGGAGATAATTTTGGCATAATTTGAAACCAAAATAAGAAAAATAGAAAAAGAACGCCAGGAAATGAAACATAAAATGACAAATATGGCTGAAAATGGACCTGTTAACCCTTTGGCGTCTGGTGAATGTTAATCAACAAATCAAGACAAATATGAAGCTAAACTGTCTTTTTAATCCCAGTCCACAATATACAGTTTTTCCGATTATCTTTGAGTTTTGAATAAAACTTGAAGGAGTGGAACCTTAATAATCTTAGCCTCTAAGCCTCTGAGCAAATGAGAATGAGACAACATATGCCAAGTTAGATTTAAAAAGACAGCATAATGAAATATACGAGCCAAATAACAATTAGATCTACAGCATCTGTTGCGTCAAGTCATTTTATCACATCTAAGATTAAGAAATAGTTTGGTATCTATCAAAGTATACATGCTTTCTTTCCAGGAAAACATGTTTAGCAATCTGTCGAGCTTAAATTACTGGTTCTTCAGGGCATTTTTGGAAAAAAAACAACATCCATATGTGAAAATGTAGTGACGTGTAGCGAACTTTAAATCAGCCTACACTTCTGTTAGTTTGAAATAAAAGAGAAATATCTCTGGATGGATGTTTGCTAGCTTTAAAGAACCTAAATCAGATGCCCTCAGTCCAGCTTTTATCATCAGATAATCTGTATCTGAAATTGATCAGATAGAAGAGCAAATGCCAGTTTTCACATGTGAGCAGAAAACATGGAATCAAATAGTTCATCCAATTAAGCACGGCCAGCTAACCACAATTAAAAGAGAGCATGCAGCGTGTTATGTATTCTGTTCATTATTATTTTAGATCGATTCAGTGGCCTGCACAGAATAACACTCAATGAAGGCACTCAGAAGAAAATAATCAAGTTACTTTGCAACTGCAATGGAAAATGTGCAAAAGAGTCACAGCTGAACAGAAGGAACAGAAAGTCGAACGGAGAACATGAAGTGTTGCTGGAGTCATGTTTACTAAATCATTAGTACTTATTTACAGAATGGCTTGAAGATGAATTAAAATAAAAATTAAAAAAAGGCAAAATGAAACTAAACGTGTCTCGTCTATGAATCTAATTTAACAAAATGCCTCGTGAATGATCACTGCTGATCTTATGATCTGGAACTAAACAAAGAAAGTTTTACCTTCTGTTGGCCAGCGAAGACGACATCATCAGCACCATGCAAGAGCCACATGACAAAGTCACATGATGTGCACGGACATGATTGGTTGAAAGGGAAATATAGAGGGGGGGGAGAATAGGGAGGGGGGGTTGCGGGGGGGTAGGAGGCGGGGTCAGGAAGGGGGGGGAGGGGGGGCACATGGGAAACATACAAAACATTTTTGAAATGATGAAAACATGTCAACATAATGAACAAAAACAAACAAGAATGTTAGAGACAAAATGACAAACAGAACAAAAACAGTAACAAAAAGAAATACATATTCGATAAAAACAGATTTGGGTTTTTTTGTTTTGTTTTTTTTGGAATACACACAAAAGTAATGTGTTGCTGGATTTATGAAGCACTTGGAGACTTGGTTTTGGTCGTTGGAAAAACATGCAGAATATCAATAAACGAGTAACTGAGCAAACACAGCGATGCTGATTTTAAGATATAGATTAAGACAACACCAAAACTGTTCACCCAGAATTGCCTCATGCATCCAGTCAACAGCAAATATAGTTTTTTTTCGATTGCAACATTAAAGGCCAATTTGAATTTCAAAGTATATTCAGCTCTAGCAGCATGGTTAGCTTTAAAAAAAACAAACAAACAAAAACAAATATAAGAAAATAAAAATACTGCAGTTGCTTTTTTTGTGTGTGTGTGGGGACAATCAGGGATGAAAGCAGCACCGAGGACACTCTGCAGCTTTGGGTATGAACACCATGCCAGCAATGTATGATACACAACACGGCAGACGACAGCGGGAACACATGAAGAATCAGGAGGGGTAAAGTCTGCACCAGATGACAATCTAAAAAGCACTTGTAACATTTGTTCTCAGTGATGCGCTGGCAGACAACACTGAGCAGTTGCTGGAGCATACACTATGAACAGCTACATCCAATTTGAATCTAATGGAAAGTCGCGGATGGATCTGATAAATGTTATTAAAAGTGTGTCGGAAGGAAAAGGTTTGGTTAGCAAACGACACGGGCACGTACAGCTCTTATACAGTGGAAACATCACACACACACACACACACCAGGGACTCGGTTAGAAGGCTACAGACGTGACTAAACACACACGTCATGTTTGTTCACACACACGGCACACTGTTATTTCAAATGGCTCTTTAGGGGTTTTTGGTAAACTGCAAATTAAAGCAATAAGATGTCAGACGAGTTAGTCACTTGAAGGTGCAATTAGTTGTAATTTTACTGCACAGAATAAGGCTGAAATAGCAGCAGAGGCCTGCAGACGTCTCGGTCATTCAGCCCTCCGTTACCTGCACGGCGCGCAGTAAAGTAAAAATACCTCCCACCAGAGCTGACGTTACGTCTGACCTAAATGAACACCGCGAGATAGCTCTCAAGAAGTCAGAGCGGTTTTAATGACAGCTACAATATGTAGATGGCACAGAGACAAAACAGGGTTTGGTTGTCAGAAGATGGAGGAGGAGGACATTTTTGCAGGGTGGCTCTTTTTTTTTTTTTTTTTTGCACAGTGCTGCGTTTAATGTCGACTGTGAGACTTTGAAGTGAATCAATTCATTTAGATTAGAGCGATTAGAGACAGTAAAAAATGCTGATTTCCTAACCAATCAGCAGCCACATTAATTAGCACTCAATCCAAGATGACAACTCTAAGTGTGACTAAGGGAGCGTAATTGGCGCGCTGAATGTATTCGGATGTTTTGTGGATATAAAATAGCGCCCCGTTGCAGTATTAGCGCTCGGTGACCCTTTAAGACATCCGTATTTATTTCATTTACAAATGCATCTATATTATCTACCAGTCAGAGGATGGAAATCACTCTTTTATGGCGTAAACAGAACATAAAAGTGTTAGCGTGGAACCTACTATCACTCAGCATTTATGCCAGAATCAGAGCATAAACATGTGATGCGGTGTGATGAGTTGGCGTGAAATCAACACATTCCTACTGATAACATCTAGAAATAGCACTTAGATTAATTGTCAGTTCTGCAGCCACTGATTTAGTAACACTTCACAACAAACTTAGATCAACTTAAACATGTTTCACATCCTAAACACCAAACTCTATAGTCCGTACTGTGATTTGATCGTCATGTTAATTCTGTCACACACAGCTCTAGAATCAGGCGGTTAAACCGTCACGAAGGTTAGTAAAACAAATCAAAATCTGCAAGTACTCAAGCCAGTTAGCTGTTGTCATTGTTCTGCTTCGATTACGCTCTACAGAGGTGTCATGAGCCACGCCGGGAATAAATGAACATCTACACTAACTGTGATGTCAAGCGGGTAAGAGACACAGAGGAGAACAGAGACACAGTGCACACTGCCGGACTGGGATACTCACTACGGCTCATAGCGGTGGCGGCAATAGTGGGTGGTATCGATGATGAAACTGAAAGATGGTGAAAACATCATGAGAGGAGCCGGAGTCCTCGACAGGAATAACTCTGGGTCACTTTTATTTATTGTCTTGGTGGTAAGGAATTGCTCCGGAACATTCCCGAGGAACAATGACTTCTGTTGTTTTTCTGCGTCTATTAGCACATCCGCCGCGCCAAACCCACAGAGTTGCGACAGCGTCCACGTCTTGCTGTATAAATGTCCACGAGAACTGACATGAATGGAGACAGTTTTAAAGTTTCGGCTACACTGATGAATACTGTGTTGTCCTGAGATGGACCTTTCTCAATAAAGTATTCACGGTTTAAAGTAATTCTTCTTGAGGGTTTCAAATCTGACAAGTTGGAATTGTGAGTCCAAATATAAAAAAAACAACAATGCAATTTGGAATTTTGACAAAAAAGTCTTTGCTTGTAGTATCACTGTCGTGTATACTCACAAATCCAAATCTTAAATAAACAGCAGTACGATCTGCAGCAGTGATAAACATCAGTCTGGACAATACCTTAAGCTAAACCAACTTGGAAGCAATACAGATGAGGGTTTTCACTCCCAGATCAAAGCCTATCTCGCTGAAGGAATCATGCTTCTCTTGTTGAACAGCCACATAGAATTGAGCGCATGCTGAGGCAAGACTTTTCTCACAGATGACTGACTGGCTGGTCTCTTGTTCCCCACAAAATGTAAATTTATCAGCAAGCATTTGATAAAACCTGACTCGCTTGTTGTGTAGATCTGGGCCGTTGATTGGCTACAGGTTTGTTTAAGACTTCCCTCCCCGGTTGTGAACCACCCGTCTGAACCACCCGTTTTGTACCTATGCCAACTGCCTTTTGTTTTGCTTTCGCTTACAGCAACAACCGGCAATTACTTAATTACTATTAGGTTGACAGAGTTCTACAAAGTGTAGCCTACACCACTTAGAAGCTCAACACGCAGGCAGGCCACACAAGTGTTCCTCTCCTTTGACCTAGATGTCGTGTTTTTCAATGAATGCATATATACAACTGAGTGGTCCCAAAGTAAATGTTTTGCAGCAGCAAGACAGCCAGAAAAGTGGTTCACCGTGTGAACTGCTACACACCGATCAGCCACAACGTTAGAACCTTCATCATCTGATTACAGCGCAATGTTCTGCTTGGTGTCGGCATTCATGTGGATGCTACTTTGACACGGGTTACCCACTTTTACCCACCATTGTTACAAACCAAGCAAGACACTGTGCCCCTCCACGTTGCAAAAACTGCTCAGGAATGGCTCGAGGACCATGACCAAGAGCTCAAGGTGGTGGAATAGTCTCCAAACTCCCAAGTCCAATTGAGTCGTAGAGGATCCATCTCGAAAACCCCAAAGGATCCGCTGCCAGACGTCGTGTTTTGGCGGCATGGATCGGAAACTATAATGCTGTGGCTAATCGGTGAGCATTTGCCAAGATTGTGATGCTGAAACTGAAGTGGAATTTCAGTCCAGTGGCCCTGAGAGTTCTGCGCTCAGGGCCACAAACGACAGATTTCACAACACTGGTGCCGCGTTTAGAGACAATGCTGCAAAGTGAGAAAACAAAACCTAAAACGAAAATGTTTCAGGGTCAGCAGAATAATATCCGAATGATATAAGACCGTGTAAACAAACAAACGTACATTTCAACACCACTGATGGCAGCCATGGCAACAACAAGCGCGTCCCAGCCGTCACGCCTTTGTGCCCGCTGGAAACGTCGCTGCTCAAATCTGTGATAGACGCAGTGTTCGCGTGCGTCGTCTGTATCTCAAGTGTGATTCAGTGTTTTCTCACTTTGCGGCACTGCTCGAAGACGGAGAAGAGGTTTTTCCTTGTTTGCCTGTGTTCTGTGTGTTCTTGAGCTTCAGGGCCACTGTATGTGAAAGCAGTATACAAAAAATAAACCTTCATCCTGTGCAACAATAGGCATATGCTAAAGAAAGCTGCAGCTCTCCCTCTCTGGAAACCCAACAGAAAGCTGTTCCTATTCTTTCTGTGTTTATCTCTATATCTTAATAGGCCAAATTAAAGCACACGGAAAAAAATGAACACATTGTGAGCACAAATGGGATTCCTGCAGATTTCTGTAAATTAAAGACCTGAATATTTAAACTTTATGTTTCCATACGGGACTATTTATGAGCAAACATGCTCAGCTTTTACCAATATAACCATGAAATATTATTTTTCCCACATTAATTACTCGACTGTACCGCATCCCTTCCTCCCCGTATTCCTATTTATTATCTGCAGATAGTACGCGTTGTTTGGATGCCTTATATAACATCCAATGGCTCATCTGCTGCAGTGAAGAAGTGCAATATACTTTATACAAGAGAGAAAAACAAACCAAAGATGTTATGAGACGAGGAAGAAATACTACAGAAGCAGGGGTGGCACTACGGGGCTATGGTGGAAAATCAATTACTTGCTACTGGCTTTAAGTATGTCATGTATATGTGTGAAACAAACCTGAAGCCACATTAAAGTAATGGAATGGACTGCCCTCTGCAAAATTAGTACATCAAGTCATGAATGAGTTCTGGTATTTATGTAGGGGGAGGGGGGGAAAAAAAAGGAAAAATACACAATTCTGGGGCACTAGAGGATGATTTCTCGGGAATGCTATGTGATCTGCTACATTCACATTATTGCAGTATTCTTTTCATTAATCATTAATCGATGTAATTGTGTAGGAAGGGAAAAAATGCAATGGAGAAAAAAATTGCAGACAAAATATATAAAGCAGAAAAGACAGGGAGAAAAGAAACTTACTTGTGAAAGAATAGCCTGAGAAGTCCAATGGAATACAGAACAGATGAAAAACCATGATGAGAAAACAATAAAACAGAGAGAAGACACAAAGACAATGAAATGAGAAATATGATCAATGAAAGAGGGCAGCTGTGTCCTGCCACATCATTAACCCACCGTCGCACTGCTATTGTGCCTTTTTGGACACTCTGCACACAGAAAGTCTTGTTTCTCTTTGTTCTGCAGTTAACTTTGACTTTGATGATACTGGTACTGTATTAATCTCCAAATTAGAAAATTGTTTTTTAATGACGTTAAGCTCTTGCTCAAGATAGGGATTCAGTGACTTCAGAGAGAGCCACTGGACTTCTCTATCTGCTGCACTAATGCACTATAAGCCATTAAATTACAGCATCTACACGATACAAACCGATTCCTCCATGTCAATTTTCATTTCATTTGTGTAAACGATGCATTAAATAAAGTTTGAGCTCAGCCTCGAGTTCGTACATTTTAAAACACTGAGCTAAATAAACACATGAGAGAGGTTCTGGGGTTTTTTTTCTGAGCTGGAACAGCTATAAGTGGGACAAAATCTCTTTTCAGCTTTAGGGGCAAAATAAGGAGGGTGCTGAGGAGGGCTTTTTCTACAGAAGCAGTGGGGTGATGAAGCACAGATGGAAGCACGACATAGAGGGCGGTACAAACTAAAACAAAGATTTATTCATGACCCTGATTTAAAATGCCGACTGAGAAATAGGTCTGTTGCTCCCTGATTGTAGCCGGGGTAAATGAGCTCACCATGGATCGACAAAGGAAGACTCGGGCCTCAGTTTGTTGGCCACGAATTCCTATTTTCCGCAGTTACAATGTGCAATTATTTGGTATTACAGTATAAACTCAAATCCTCGAAGTCCTTGTTTCGTACAGGACTGTGTCAGCTCATTTCTGTACATCAGTTGGACCCAATTTATACTTCAGTGAGAAAGCATTATCTGACATGGTTCCCCGCACGAACACACTCAAAGTCGCACTTTGTGTCAAGCTGACACGTTCTGATTGGTGACGGCAGGTGTTGTGCACCTGCTCTTTGCTGCAAGGTTGCAGGTGCTACAACAAAGCTGTGATATGACATCCGATTATTCACCGAGAGAAGCTTAAACGATGTGAACTTTGAAGGCGACGATAAGTTCTGTTCTCCAGAACATCCAGAAAACTGCCGTCAGTGTCACGATGTCTGGCAATGAAAGCAACACGGTCCGAACTTCCCCTCATCTGCCTGACAAGCAGGTATTCTTCTTGCATCTCCCCCGTGCCGCTAAGGTGACTTTTCTCCTTTCCTTCAAACACAGCTAAAAAGAAACCTCCCCTAGACCTCCGCAGTATGCAGCCATTCATCACGCGCTGCCATCTCCTTCACGAAATACAAACAATCCTCAGCAGGACTTGACCTGTGGCTGCTATATTAAAAATGCACACTGTCAGTGAACTATAAATACAGAGATGACACTTCCTCACACTGAAGTATAAATCAGCTTTGAGAATGCGCAAGTACTTTCGAGAAAGCTTTCACTAAATCACCTGAGTTGCGGGGCCAAGACGTCGGGACTCTGCGAAATGAAAGGAGGCACAGGCTGCCTCGAACGCTGCAAACATTCATGAGGCAAGAAGCACACAACACTGCTCAGAGATGAAGGATAAAAAGGTTACACTCTGCATAGCTATCACCGTTAACCGAGTTGGATCATGAAGCGGCACTGAGTTATCGTTCCTTCTGGCCTGGATGGGAGAGGACTGCGCATGGGTGGGGAGGGCTTGGCGTGAGAAGAGAGGAGTGTCGGGGTGAAAGCATCTGGACTCAGCTAGACGTGAGCGGGCGGCGGAGTGAGGTTCAAAGCAATCGGGGTCAGAGGAGAGCTTACTCGGAGCGGGGATACAAGGAGCGAGCGGAGGCACTTACGGACTGGCTCGGTCTTGAAAGTGCTGGCCGCGCTGCTCTCGCCCTCGCCTTTGCCGTTGATGGCGGACATCTTGACCTCGTAGGTGGTTTCTGGTTTCAGGCCATCGATGGTGATCTTGGTCATGTCTGCGGAAGGCAAGGTGGTGTCATTTCACAGAGGTACCGAAGAAAATGCTGAAGCAACAGTTAGGGAACAAGGTGTTTGTCGCCTTTTTGCATGCTAATGTTTGGCATAAATCACCATTGCGGCCGGCCAACATAGTGGTGCTTTAATCCATATTGTCACCTCGTACAGTACACGCCGCAATTCTTTTGTTCGACAAAAGAACACCCAAGACAAAAGAAAAACTGAACAAATGACTGATGATTGTTCTCGGGAGCAGAATCTGCAACTCGCACACGATTTTTTCTTTTCATATGCTCATTGTTTCTCCTTTAATCTGTACAATAAGTCCACCTTCTGGTGTTTGGCTTACTGTACATGATCTCACTCATGTTTTTATTAATATCATTATTATTTTATGAAGAATCCAGAGAGACTATCTTTATGAGGCTGTTTAATGAGATCCGAATAAAGCTTTAAGAGTTATTAATAAATATGTTGACGCTCAGCCACATTTTTCCCACTAATAATTAATTACAGAACGTATTATGACTTATACGTCTTCCTCACATGACCTCATCACTGTTTGGTCGTTGTTTGCTCTTGTTTGTTTCTTTGGCTTCCTGCATCTTTCTTCGTGCTCTTATTGCATTCACCGCCATCCTTTGTACTATATATACTGAGCTACAACAAGGAGTGCTTGTTGTCCTGTGTCTCTTTTAGATTACATCTAGCAATCTGCACTATCTACTTTTTCCCCCGAATGGAAGAAGAAGAAGAAGAAAAAAAAAAACCTAAGACAGGGGGTTTAAAAAAAGAACAATTTAATCAGGTTCCTCAAGAAACCAGGAGGGTTATATAAGAAACTGGAACTTTCCCCTAATGGAATTATTCCCAGGCACTCAGTCATTGCATATAATAATAATAATATAATATATATATAAGTTGCATATAAACAGCAACCAGAATTTGACAAATTGAGAGGTTATTATTTTTATCTAATGGTAGCCACGGAGCCCAGAGGCAGAGCAGGCAAACAGCAAATCTAAAAAAAGGATAAATTATAATTGCAGTGGAGCCACGTGGTCTGTTGTTACAGGTTTAATTGTAGGAAAGACTCACACGTGTATATGTACATACTCTATATATCTATGGGGAGAGAAAGAGTTAACAGTTATTTAAAGAGTAAACTTCTCTTTCTAGAGTTAAAGAATGAAGTTTTGTATTCAAAAAGTGCTCCGTTTCTTTTGACAGACACTGTTATTTCCATATTAACAAGGCGCTGCTGAGATTTCAGTCAGGATACACACACATATACACTCACTTTTGTCATAAAAAGTCATTTGGCTGATATCTCACTGTGCAACACAAAGAATAGTAATTTCATGGATGAGAACAAATTTTGGCAGTGAAAAACAGCTGAGGAGCATCTTTCCATTACTGTGACTCCATTTATGTCTCAGATTAATGTCTCAAAGAGAAGTAGTTTTAGAATGAACATATAAGTATAAGTGAGTGCTCGGGGAAGCTTTGTGAATGCCGCTAAAAAGCAGAAGGCCAGATCAATTCAGAACTGGGCTTTTAGCACCAACGTGCAACTTAAAAACCAGCCGGCTCGCATTAATTCACCCGTGTTTTTTACAAGTAGGCTCTCTGTGCTGCTGTGAAAGGTCATATTCACCAGCAAATGCTGCAGATTCGACTCATTTCAGCACGGGGCAATTAGCATGTTGCTACAGCGTGTGCTACAGTGACATCAGAGAATTATCATCAGCATTAATGATGAAATTAGTTGTAGTATTAAGGCACCACATAAAAACTACAGATGATGGGCTCCTGTGTCACATTAAATAAATGTTCTATTTTTGTGTCTGGGGATGTAATTTGATTTGTGGTGCTCACAGCATTGAGAGAAATATGCCTCAAAATTATACTAAAAAAAACAAATCAGCAATGTCTCAAAAAAAATAATAAAAATCTCCAATACAGTAAATGATTTTTTAATTTCTGTTTATCTGCATGCATTCGTTCCACAATAATTAAAAGCTGGCAGTCAGTAAATCCAAAAACCCAAAATGGAAAGCACCAAAACGATTTATCTCGCTAACAAGTACTGCCTTGTAGTTAACGTATTGTTCTGTGCAGCAGACTTCCACCGCTCTCCAAAAAAAACCACCGAAAACACATCAATCAGACACACTGCTGCACTGACGAACGCTGTGCACTCACTGTGAGCTGCTGCTGTCATTATGGTAAAGCAAAGATGACACGTTTGGGTCCATTTGCATCATAAACGCAGCTGGAATGTACATATTACAGCTTACTATGGACTATATGCGACATGTATCTAATGCATAAAACATAAAATGTGAAATGTGATTAGTGCTTACAGGCTTGTAATTGCAGCGTGCAGCTTAGTGTTGGCGCACGCAGCAGCGTTGGTGTCTGTACAGTATAGATGGGTGTGGTATCTATATCTGGCAGTACTGCTTTTAAACATGTGATGGCAGCCCTGGTTCACAGTGCAGTGAGGGACACAATAGCCCTTTTTATTGACACAGATCAGCCACTTGATAACGCTGCATCGGGAAAAGCACGGCTCCCTTCCTCCGTTCATGCAGGTTCTCGTGTGCTTTGTAAAATAAATTTTAAAAATCCAGAGGGGGAGTAGGTGACGTAGCTGAATGAGATATTTCGGGTAACATTTGCTGCTGGTAGGCGGGTCCGTGTGTTTTTGTTTTGTGTATATTCTTGCGTGACAGGCAGCTCTCGGGCCTTGAGCTGACAGCAGAGCCTGTCAGCCCCTGACTGATACGTCCCGCGTGGCAGACAGGACGAAAACCATCCAGATTTGTAAAGAGCCACAAACCCTCAGTGGGACGGGGATATTATCTGGGGCCCTGTCACTGTCTGAGCTGACTGTCATTTAGGCTACAGTGTGTTCCACCTCTCTCTTCCTGACACCAGCTACTGTCATGTTTGGATTAGCTGTTGTTGCTGGTGGGGAATGTGTTCTGCATGTGGGAGCTGCGCTTCCCAAAATAATACCAATAAAGATTAAAAATGAATAGCAACAGTGAAGTTTTAATTCCTATATAAATCCAAACGCTGTCTGCTGTAGTATTGCTAACGCTACACCTAAGCCTTGTTTTTATGGGTGCTTTCAGTGTCTTATGCCTCAAGCTGGACGGTATATTATGTAAATATTATGTCTGGTGAAAGCCGTGCAATGAAAAGTCATGCTGCATTTAATGCAAGCACTTCCTCTTCGCACTGGAGCCATTACTGATGACAGACTGTGGATTATCTACATGAAAAGCTTGATGAGGAAACAAGTGATCAGATGATTTCTAAACTGACCAAACAAACAATTACTTCCATTGTTGACTATTTTCTCGATTAGTTGTTTGGTCTAAAAATGTTAGAAAGCTGTGAAAAAAAAGAGGATGAGTGTTTCCAAAAGTCCAAGATGACAAAACCAAATGTCTTGTCTTATCCACAACCCAAAGATGTTCAGTTTACTGTCACAGAGGAGGAAAGAAACCAGAAAATATCCACATTTCAGAAGCCGAAATCAGTCATGTTTGACTTTATTCTGGACTCAAACTGTTGAATTGATTGTCAAAACAGTCGGCGATTAATTTAATAGTTGACAGCTAATCATTTAATCGATTTATAGTTGCAGCTCGGCTCATTAATGGATGATGTTTGTTAATAAACAAGACGGACTCTGTGGAGCCTTCATCTTTGAGAGGAATGCTAAAGGAAGCTGCGTCGTTAGCGGGCCAAGGATTAAAGTGGCTTAAGTGGCACTGAGGTGTAGCTGATGCAGCCACAAAAACACACTGACCTGAGAGCCACTGAGAGCGCTAAACAGCATCCTTTGCATCCGCCGCGCTCGATTAAAAGTATATTTTTCAAGGGGAAATGCAGGTAAGTGGTGGTGACTGAGGGATTTAAGGACCTAAATCAACACTTAGTCATCAGGAAATCAGCAGAAATCTGCGTCACGCTAATCTGCTGCTGCTGATCGAATGAATACGATGCTATATTAAGTCATAAAGGCCGTTCTTGTGAAATTATGACTCTATGTGCTCGTCGCATCCAAGGAGAGGCGTCACGCCAGCGAGCTTTTCTGTGAAGAGCGCCGAGTGGCTCACCGTCCTTGGCGTCGTACTCCCTGCCGGTCCATTCCTGCCCGAGCAAACGCCATTCCACTCTGTACTTGATAATGGGCACTCCACCCATGGAGACGGGCTCCTCGAACTCCACCACCGCTGTGCTCGAGAAAGGCTCCACTTGTTGGATTTCTGGCGACGATGGAACCTCTGCAACGGCGAGCCGAGAAAAAATACATACATTAAAAAAAAAAAAACATTTTGTAAAGCTCCTTATAGAAGCCAGAACTTATAATAAAAGCAAATGAACAAAGCAAATGTAAACTTTTTCTTGAGGATTTCAGATTGGATTGAAGCTTTAGAGAACTTACTGACAACGAAAACTGACTGTGTGTTCCCGTAGTAGCAGTTTTTGTATTTCTGGTTTCCTACATCATCTCTCTTTTGTCTTTTTGTAAATCTCTTTGCAGCTATTACGGCAAAAATGTCCTATCTTCGAATAGCGATCGTGCCGCTTCCAAACCATAGGGTGACATTTACCGCGGTGTCATGTGAGCCATTTTTCAAGATAACTATCGGAGCCACCGCTGTGAGTTCTATGACAAAGGTCCTCGCTGACATCTAGAAGGCATCAGCATAAATATTTTCATTTGTGTGGCTTTGCTATTAAACTTGCAGAAAAAAAACATCTTTGATTAAAATTTCCAATTATGACACCGAATCACAGCTAAAATACTTTATGGAACTATGAACCTTCCTACTACAGAAGAGACACTTATTCCTCTCACAAGCATTAAAATACTACCGATTTGTTTAGGAAATACTTTAATATAATGGACCAAAATAGCCAAAATAAAAAGCTTGCAAGCCTGAGAGCACCATCCCAACTGTGAAGCACGGGGGTGGCAGCATCATGCTGTGGAGGGACTGGTGCACTTCACAGAACAGATGGCATCATGAGGAAAGAACATAAAGAAGCAACATCTCCAGACATCAGCCAGGAAGTTAAAGCTTGGGTGCTAATGGGTCTTCAGATGGACAATGATCCTCAGCATAGCGCCGGATTGGTTACAGGGAGGCTTCAGGACAACAAGGTCAGTGTTGTGGAGTGGCCATCACAAAGCCCTGATCTCAGTCCTGGAGAACATTTGTGGGCAGAGCTGAAAAAGGCGACTAACAAACCGGACTCAGTTCTGTCAGGAGGAATGGGCCAGAACTCATCAAACTATTGTGAGAAGCTTGTGGAAGGAAAACGTTTGAGCCAAGTCATACAGTTTAAAGGCAACGCTACCAGATACTAAGGAGATGGATGTGAACTTCTGAATTTGAAGAAAGTAATAAAAAAATGATCTCTCTCATTATTCTGGCGTTTAGCAAAGAGAAAGAATGTTGGTAATCCTAACTGATCTAAAACAGGAGAAGCTTAGTCTGATTTAATGTGAGGAAAAAATGGTTTAATGTCTTTTTATAGAGTGTATGTAAGCTATGTGTCTGAAGTGCGTGAGAGTCTTACAGGGTGACGCCGAGTTCAGTGTCTCCTCCTCGCTCGACATGTGGGCCTTTCCCAAACTTTCCATGTGCTCGGGCAGGGAGGGGATTGCATTTAAAGTCATTAAAGAAGCCCCAAAGTCTCTGGTCACCAAATTACTGAAGATATGTTAGGCATGCCTGAATGAGTTTCCAGTGACAGTTTTAGCTCACGCCTTGAGATGCACTTTGATTCATAATTACAGGGCCGAGCGACGGAGTCAGAGAACTGGAGCGCCCCACAGAACTGAACTTTCTTCTGTAGACACTGCAAAGCTGTTTTCAATCTTTGGAGGGGGACGGCTTAATGATGGTCATCAGTGTGGGAGCTGGGACTTTATACCCATCAATTATATTCTGCTCTAATGCTTTTGTCTGCTTACAATCATTTAAAAAATAAAAAATAAAACTTGTCACACAGAATGTTCCTGGTTCCTTGAGGATAATTGCTATTGAGTCGAAAGAACCTCTTGGCTTTTTTTTGTTGTTGCTGAAAATCAGTCAGTCGGACAGATTATCACATCACTGGTAACATTCATGTTCCCCAGAGGATGCACGATTTTGATTTATTTGACTCAACTGTCGCCTGCTGCATCAACACCACCAAACATAGATGTTTTTGCACAACTCAGCTGCTTTATCAGAGGCAAAAATCAGACTTGGGAAATGTATTTAACCAGTTCCTGTCATGTGTTTTGTTTCAGTGGATGCTCTAGGGGTCACTAGTGAGACTTTGTTTGAAAGTCTCTGTTGCTGCTGGTAATTACAAAGCAACCCTGGATTTTTATACAACTGCTAAAAGGCAAAGGAATAAATAAATTATCAGCCCATTTATGTTTGTCTGTAAACTTCCTAGAGCCACTCACGGTAGCATCAACCACACGGGAACTCTTAAAGTGTGCCTGATTTTCTAATGATAAATCGACCTTTTCTGGGCAGCATACCATTAAAAATTGAAATTATTTTGTTTAGCGGAGCTCTATGCGTGTCAAAGCTTTCTCATCAGCACATCATAAGGTGCAAAGACATATTTATTGTTTTGGGTTTTTTTTTAGTCTAACTCTGTTTGGAGGGAGTCACTTTAGGCATGCTGATAAGTTATGCAGCAAATGAGAAAGCAGGAGAGAAAAAAAGCCCCTCACAGAGCCTACAGGATATTACACAATGGCAGCACAGGGTGTTACCACAATTAATTCGACCACACCGCATTTAGACAAGGTCCTGAGCGACCTACCACTTCTAATGGGCCCAAAGCAATTTGCATACCAAATGAAGCTAACACAAACCAAATGCAGTGCAGAGAAAATAAGACTTAAAGGGCAGTTCCACTGTGAATTCATTAGTTTTCTTTCCCATTATTTGTCTAGTCTTGTCCTGTGGCTCAAGTTTCTGCACACAGTCCGACTTTATTTCCTGTTTGCTGTCCTCTGGATTTCTCATATACAAACATATTGTCATTTTCCATTTGCTAATCGCCCCAGTGCAAATATCACCTTCCTGATTCCACATCTATAAGTGCATGGCTTAGATCTGCATGCATCTACCGTAAATTCAGAACCAGCACTGTACATTCATTACCTCTTGTCCCTACAACAGCAGAACCTTGTTTACTCACCTCAGTAAAAAGTTCCCTTTACTGTCTGCAGCTTGTTCAAAACTCTGTTCGAGTGTATAGTCCACAGAGCCTCGCCTCCTAACGTGGCTTTGGATTGCCTTTGGAATTGACTTTAAAGTTTTATTTGATATTTGATGGGCCTTTCTCCTGGTTTTACTGCTGAGCTGGTAAACCATTTGGTTCTGGTTGGTTGGATTCCCATTGAGTGGTACCCAACCCAGTCCAAGGTAAAGACTGATATGGGATCGTAGACGTCGAGGAGGTTCTTCCTTTACAAAATTTTACAGAATCTGGAGTCTTTCTTTGGTTTCCCACAAATTAGGGGTTTGTTAAATATATTGTCGTTTTTTTTTTAGCTGAAATGCACACATACAAACACTTTCACCTTCATTTCGACTAACAGACCTGCTTGGATGAGGATGAACTCCTTGGATTCGGTACCCATCACATTGGTCGCTGTGCAGTTGTAGCTGCCAAAGTCATTTTGGGAATCAGGGGTAATCTAAGGGGCAGAAAATGACAAAAAAAAAACACTGAAAAACATCAGGTTTTGTAAAATAGAAGCTGAATAATCGTAAGAATACAGTGAATACAACAGGCTGCAGTCATTATTTAATGTTTCAATGCCATTTACCGTTTGAGCACAAGTGCTTCATTTGTAAGTTCATTGGTGTGCGCAGATCGTCTAGGAGCTAATAATTGCACATTGGTTCATTAACATAGTATATAGCACTCTGTGCTCAATAGCATCCCTGCTATTATAATTCATTTAGAGCTGGTCTGGAACCACTCTTTATGTTTTCATGTCATTACTCAGGTCAACCTCTGATCTCACTGGGAGCATGTTAATGCTGAATATTTACTCTGTGACTCTTTCATAAATAACCACTGCATTATATTTTTGTTTTTTAGTCATTCATCACTTAACATAGTAAAGCTCAATTAGAAATTACAAAAATGTTTGTTTAGGAAATATTCAAATGCTAAAGTGGAACAAATTCTGTTCATAATTGCTCCTAATGGTTTGATCTTTATCTGCTGAGTAACAACGGCTGCTGCAGACACAAAACCTGATGATATCTGAACCATGACACGTTAATAATAATGAAAAAAAAAAACAGCCTCTTTATGTCTTTCTGTTCCTTCGTGTGACAGAGAGACGGCAGGTGAGTCAGACCTCCAGGTAGCTGATGGTTGGCGTGTTGTAGATCTTCATGTTGGTGGTGTTGGCGTTGGGCAGCTGGAGGCCGTCTCTGAACCAAACCACCGCGGCTCCCGGGTGAGCCTCCACCTCACAGCTGATGTTGGCCGGGTTTCCCTCCCACGTGTACACCGTCACCGAGCCCAGGATCTTTGGAGCATCTGAAGCGAGGGTTGAAATGGGAAACGTCAGGCGTGTTTGGCCCTGATAATCTGAAACCTTTCATTTCTTCAATCTGGCTCAATTGTGCAACTCAAACTGCACAATCGGGACTCGGATACTTATCTAATCAGCTGAATAGGGGCAAAATATTCACTATTAGGAGAGCTGTCAGATGGAGTCTTGTCCTCTGCTACTATGATCATCACTAACTTTTTTTTTTTAGCATTAGCATAATAATCAAGACAGTCAAATCTCTGTAGGAAAATCTAGGACTGATAGGAATGAGTCAGCTGGATGTGAGCATATTAAGTCTTCTACTGCAAGGAGGCAAGGAGTTGTGAGACTCATTCCCTGAAGCTCTCTTATCACTGCCACCAGTGAGATACTTCACTTGGAAATCGCTGTTATGAAAAAAAAAAAAAAAAGAAGATATTTAAAATGCACTCTCAAAGGCACTCGTCCCGACGCTGACAAAAAAACGCAATTTTACAGAATGGTAAACAAACGCTAAGTGCAGTCTGATGGCTGTATTTGGGTTCTATATATTCAATGTCTTTTTATGATATCCATTTGAGCTTTACAGCCAAACCGGGCTGGTTTTTATAGAACATTAAAGTGCTCTTCTCTGCCCATTTACCTCGCGACAAAAAAAAAGTGCACGCAAGACGCTTGATCTCAGAGAACTCAAAACATTTACATCTCATCGGGCCATTAATTCAAGTCTAATAGGTGTTACAGTCACGAATTAGCCGCGGCACTCAGTCAGCAGAAATAACAGCGCCGCACACCGTCAAGTGTTACGGGAATTTCAGCCGGTTTTTATTTTTGACTGCAGTAGCTGCAGAGTTACCAAATAGGAGCGCCATCATTCATGCAGTGTAAGGCCCATTTAGATAGCTACTTTGACATCCTCATTGAATTGAATCGATACCATGGGGCCGAGTCCACACTGAGCCTTGATTTTTTGACACCGGAATCGAGAAGTAAGAGGCAGAAGGTAACGACTGCTTCCCCGCATTGTTTCCTTTTAATATATCTTGCTCACATCGCTGAGCGGTGTTGTTGAATGCAGCGAAGTCTGCTTTGTTTCCTGAGCGCTCTGAAACGCTGCGGCCCCTGACACTGCCGGGGCTTTGCTCCTGACCCCGGATCCTTGAAAACTCTGCAGTGTGCTGCTGCCGGGATTGATGGACAAGGCTGAGTCAATAGATGCTCCATCTCCTGCAGCCCTGATTAGACTCTCACTCCTTCTATCAATGCTGCTTTTGGGTCTCATTGACTCACCACAGAGCCTGTGACCTGCCTGTTTGATTTCTCCAGCCTTCCAGCCTCGCGCAGGAGAAATTATTGCAAATAAAAGGAGTGCATCTGCTGGCGGTGATCATGCAGATCACGTACAACAGAAAATCAGTGCAAAAACAGCGAGGACAGCAAACACATTACAACAGATAATATAAGATGCAGACAAGAATGAGGACGCTCACAGGACTTTTGGAAGGAATAGAAGCATTTAGTAAAGAGTAGAAGAGTAGTTCATTGAACATTAGGTAGTGTTTAACTAATAAAGCTGGCTACTTTGGATTAGTGAACATTTAGAGAAACAAACTACTAATTTATACTCATGAATTATTATTTTTTCCCCACTGATGTCTGCCCGGCTCCATATATACAGTATATGCAAATCGGTGTGCAAATTTAAATACATTCTTTGTGCAAAGTCTCCAAAATAGAGCAATTCACTGTGTTTTTCAGGGTGGCAAACAGTGAATATATATTGTAGATATACAGAGATGCATATTATTTATGCATAAATTATGTATGCATCTAAACACTGTATGCAGTATGTGCACAGTGCAGGAAAAGTGCATAACTTGTGTTTATTTTCTGGATGCTTGTCATAAATGTTGTATTGCGCCACTGATGGACGCACTTCTGCTATTAGAATTTTATATTAAGACTGAAATAAAGGCCAAGCTCAGACCTGGCCTACATAAATGTGCACCTGTAAGTGACATTTAATTGTACGTAGTATTTGGTTTACACATATTTACTGCATAATTCGTATTCTACCTTGTCAAAATAAGATACTTTGCAAATTTCCAGGTAGTTTCAGATGTAATTTCTCTACAATGCTTCTCTGCAGCCTCAGTATTAAAGTGTCTTCAGTGCTGTTCAGCTGCTATACATGCAGAAACGCATGCAAAAGATGGCAAAAATAATTTAAAAAAAACTAGAAAAAATAAATAAAAAGCTGGAATTGGAATTTCTAACTCCACAGCTGGCAGGACTGAGGTGAGTACAAATGCACTGACCTGCTTGCAGCTCAAACAGCGCTTTCATTAGAAATTCATGCTAAACAAACTTCAACCGCCGACAAAATGGAGCTCAAACAGAGAAGATATCCACACTGTCCTATCAGTCCTTTAGCAGCAAACCTAGATACACTGAGCCTGGCTAATGGGATCATGCTGTGCGGCAGATAGGAAGTTCCATGCTTAGATAACGTCTTCATTGTGTGAGTGGGTGAGTGGTGATAGAGAGGACGGAGAGTGAAAGCTGTGCTCAAGACAAAGCACCTTTTCTTATCGATAATTGCTTGGCAACAGTGAATCAGCTACCTGATTATTCGCTGATTACTCGAGCTAACTGCAAGCCCTCAAACAACTCTATCAATGCTGCGTTGTGATTATATCTCTGAGCAAATTGTGAGCGCATTGAGAGCAGGGCATATTAATCCAATTAAGCATTCATTGGCTATATATTTCTTCTTCTTTTTTTTTCTAATCAAGGTAACATTTGATAGATTTAGAATGAGATCAAATGCGATGGCTTCCGTCATCCACGCCCGGTCTTTCTAAGGAGAGAGTTTGGTGGCGAAGGGAAGATTCATGCAGGAGCATCAGCAGGGAGCAGACGCTGTACCGTCAGGATGGTTCTGTTTTGTCTCAGAGCTCCGGCACATTAGAGATGAATTACAGCCAGTGATTTACCAAATGAACCATGCAGAGACTGTAACTCTGCAAAAAAGGGACTAGTCCGACACCGCTGACCCTTCCACGTACCGTCGGTCAAGCACATGCAGAAAGCATAATTTAGTCTTTTACAGCATTTCGCGTAACCTCTAAAGAACATTCTGGCCGTGCTGCGGCTCGCTGTTCAGATCCAGCTGGAGTTTAATGCATGTCATCTCTCACAAAAACATCTCACACTGCTCCACGGCTACATTACGACTTGGGCTCGCAGACGGTTGCTCAAAAAAAAATAAAAAATAAAAAAATGAAGACAGAGTAAATGAGAGCCCGAAAAGCCACTGCACCCCTGAAGGTATGTCAGAACTGAGACCTTTGTTTCCATGGTAACAAATCACAGTGGTACCACTGATCCAGCAAACTCTGCTCTCTCTCTCTCTCTCTCTCTCTCCCTCTCAACTACTGTACCATTTATCCACCGAAACAGAGGTGACTGCCCAGACGCTGTCTCCTCAGAGCAGTTTTATGGTCTTTTCAAGCGTTTCCTATTTTAGGATTTTCCAATTTGATTCTGTCATTTTCTGCATCCAGTGTCATGATTTTTGTTATATATATATATTTAATGCTTCTATGAACTGCAGGATTAGCTAAACTAATAGTGGCGATGTAAAGGTAGTTTAGCGGGATAAAGCTGCTGCTCAATCAGGCAAGATTTTCAGTTTTGATTTACGTCCAAATGCTTAAACAGCTTTGGACGCCTAATGAGAAATGTTCAAATGTAGCTTGGAGTAAATAAGCTTCAACAATAAGAGGACACATATACAAAGGAGTGTATCATAGATAAAGTAGTAACTTGTGCCCAAACTTACTAAAACTGAGTTGCACCATGCAGGTAAGTTACTGCACTTCATTTCCCCATGCGGGTGAAAGTTGGTCTTTCTTACCTGTCACCATGGTGGGAGATATTTCAGTGTGAGAAGAGTCAGAGGTACATATTCTTTGAGCACATTTCCCATGTCTTGAACCATTTATGATGACACTGACATGCAAGCGCTGTCGTGGGCTGTACAGTTACTTTGTGCTGCTTCGCTTCACTCGAGGAAGGACTCGGCACTGGAAAGTTCTTATTGTTCCGGCACCGACTTCAACGGAAAAAAAAGAGAAGAAGAACTCCCACTGATGCTGCTGTTGTCTGTAGTAACATCTGATAAGATCACGATAACGTCGGTGAAAAGCCTTTATGACTAATATTAGATGATCAGATTGAATCTATATGTGACAGCGTACAATATGTCGTCTTTATTCTTGTTCTTTTACGCCTCTAATAATAATGTCTTTTGCTTCTTTTTTTATCTACTGCATCTAACTAATCTGTTCAACATGATATTATTAAAATCACTGGACCCCCCCGCTGGTTTCTTTACAAAGTCGACACAGCAGACCTTCACCATTGATTATTCAGTTTGAATGTTACCACAGTGGTTATATAATTACAGCATCTTGTAAAGGACATTTTAAAACAATCTGATCGTGTTTCGATACCTGAAGGAAAGAAATTGTGAGAAGACAACCGTCTCAGTCGAGGGATACGGTGCGGGACCCTTTTCTAACCAGCTGGAAATCATAAAAGCAGCTTAAGAATGAACAACCTTAAGAAGAAAGACGCAGGAACAGCGGTCAAAGGGGTCTAATAACTGTTTCCAAAGCTGCGTAAATGGAAATCTGCTTCGGAGACAATTCACGTGTCCTTTTATGGCAGTAGAATAAGACGTGGAAGAGTTTTGGCGAGGGTTAATGTCAGGGAGAGGTTTAAGACTAGTGCATGACAGACAGTGATACGCCAAATGCAAAAACTGCATTCTGATAAAGTGATATTTATTCACAGCTTCTCATGATATCGGGCTGATCTGCTGCAGAGTGTCGACTTAGCACTTGAACATACAAATCCAGCTTGTATTTATCTGGTGCAAGGAGCTGCAAAAATCTATCCGCAGACATAACAGCGAGATCTTCAGGCTAGAGACGTGCTTTTTTTTAACCAACATTTAACAATCATTTTAGGAGATATGTCTCGCAGAAGATACCGAGAGAAAGATTTCCACAAGCAAGGCGGCTACAAGGCAGGCGGTGCTTTAAATAAATGTCATGAGTCTCAAGCTCCTCTTGACTGGGAAGAATTGCTCTCTTGCTCTTACTGTTATATCGCTGGTTGCTATAGATTTCTCTGCCTTCAGGTGAAATCAGCAGTTAATGAACAAAGCCCGAGAAAGTTCTCCGGCTGCTGTCAAAACCATTTTTGGAAAGAGAGGAAAATCCGCGCCTGAGCAGAAACAGACGCGTCGAGAAAACATCTGCGCTCCGACAATTTGACAGAACAAATAAATTACCGCTGGGATGAAGACAACATCAGAGGCCGACGACACAGTGAAGTGCATCACGGTCAAAGGATGGGAGTTTACAGTCTACAAGTAGTCGCTAACAGTTGTAGCTTCTCGACATTTCATTTGAAGAGCGTTCTTTAGCAGATGTAGCGACATGAGCCGCGACCGCAGCTAAGAAAAGACAGATGTACGTCTCTGACAAAGATCCTTCTGAAGGATTCTTTCATACAGCATGTGACTTTAATTTGTGTTTTTTCTGCAGTTCAGCAGTTTGGGAGTGTCGGTGACATGAAATTAAAAAAACGACGACAGTTTATTAAGCGGACGTCAAAAGCAACAGCAGCTCTTATTGCTTTTAGATTGGGTCATTCGCGCACACTTACAGCGCACTTCCAGGTACATGTGCTGGTTGTCCTGACCGATGGAGTTGCTGGCGGTGCAGAGGTACTGGCCGGCGTACGTGAACTGGACGCTCTTCAAGGTGAGGGAGGACACCCGAGCGTGACTGCGCACCACGACGTTTCTGTCGAGGCTCTGGAAAGAAAAAGGAGAAAGACGTTAGTTCTCACCGGCAAGGCGAGTCGTCGTCATAGAATGTGTGTCCCTCGGCTCGTTAGTGAGTTTTATTTGTTGGTGTAAACACTGGGGGGCAAAAAAGAGAGAAATTAAAAAGACAGGAGGTGATGGGGTTATGTATGTAGTTTAAACAGGATTCATAAATAGAAGATGAACTGGAGACTAAACATAAAACCAAACCAAAATGACGACTGAATGTCAGTGCAGAATTACCACGAAGATGACCGATGAGAGACGTATTTTGAATAGTCTGGAAGCTTTGCATGTTTTCTCATTGCTGCAGACATGACACCTTTGAATTGTGGACGTAAGCGAGATTAAAGTTCGGGGTCGAGGCAAGTTCAGGTGGCATCAATTTCTAAATCATAAAACACGTCGTAAAATCCCACAAACACACGGGTGAAATCGAAACCCCCTGGCACATCCACGGACAGCAACACAGCGGACCGTCGCGGCCTCTAAGAGACTGTCCCTGGATCGACCTGGAAATCAGTAAGTGGTCAGCCAACTGCCTCCTAAACTGCTGTAATATGTCGATTTCTGGCCCGGGCCATTTAGCAGTCTAGTTGCAGGTTTGCAAGCGGCCTAATTGCAGTTGGAACAGTATAATTGCAGTTGGGAACAAATGGCTTGGTAAATCTCACTTTTATTTTCATTAGCAGATCACATTTATTAGACTGCCTCCTTAGCTGAAACTGCTGTTTGGTCAATACGCTGGGAGGTGCTCGCTCGGAGCAGGTCGAGCTCACCCGCTGACCTCGCTCGCCTTGATCTGTCGAGCTGTTGCCCGACACAAAGACGAAGCCAGAGGACGGCGGTGCTTTTGTTCTCACATGCAAACATTAAAATGTCTTCTTGCAAAAGTGGTGCAAAAGTTAGAAGGTATATATATATAAAAAAAGACATTAATAGTAAAGTAAAGAGCGGTGAAATGAATAATAAAGTATCAGGCCTTTAAAAAAAACTCTGGCTGTTAAAAATACATCTCTCTTCCCTCTGGGCGACACAGTTCACGCCTACGGGGAATATACGTACATCTTCCCTTCTAGCTGCTGATCTTCTATTAATATTTGAGGCATTCGAGGTGCTCGGGTGTTTATGTCGTATAAATAATTGAATGATATTTGTTGTTTTTAGCGTTACGGCAGGAATTGTTATTCTTTACAGAGCGGGGCTGATGCAGATGTGGCAGAAATATTTCTGCTGTTTACTGAGGATCTGAGGGAGTGTCCTGGAACACTTTGAAAGGGCACCATTAATCTTGTCTCGCTGCAGTAACGCGAAAGAGCTGTACCGTGCACACTGCTGGAATGTAAACAGGAGAAAAAAAAAAGGTTAATGGAGAATAATACTTTAATGATACAACAGAGGCAGAAGTGGACGGGCAGACCTTTTGCGCAGGATTTATTCACTAATCCAGACGAATCAATTTAATTACGCAACTATGACTTGTCATCAAATTAATTGTCACGGTACACTTGTACAGCAGAGGTGATTTTTTTTGTTGTTTTTTTGTGTGTGTGTCGCTGCTGTGGCTTTGCTTTGCGGGGCAGAACTGACACCGTTACATAACCTGTCAATACATGTGTTTTGCTTGTCATATACGCTGTACTTGGAGTGTAATACAGGAGAGAAACTGCCAGACATCATCTGCACAGGCGGCGTCTGTCACAGATGAAGTACAAACACACTTCACTCACGCCGCTTCTACGCTTTCACTAAATTCAGAATAGCTCCTCTTAGCAGCCAAGGTGCAAAAACCCTTTCTAGACTTTGGGGAAAAGCTTTTCTTTTTCCTGTTTTTTGTGGCCAGCACCAGTACTTTGTGTAACACTATTACCGCAGTAAAAAGATGTTAATGCTGCATTAACCTTCGAAACCTCCAAACCCACGAGCAGGCATGAAAGGCGTGTTGTCTTTCCAAACAAATTCTGTAAAATTGCACCATATTTAGGAGCTGGAAAATGTAAAAAACCCAGAAAGAACTGTCATATTTCCAACTGTTCCATCAGGAAACTTAACCAATATATGGTGAAAGATGTGAAATTGCATCAAAATCACTTCATTCCACTTATTTCACTTTACAAATTACCAAAAATAAATGAGTTGCTTTAACTTAGATTACACAAAACAGTCTGAATTCTGCACTTCTTGGTAAAACCAAGAAGCTATTGGGTGACTGAGCTGCAACCAACAGCCATATGACAACGTTTTCGGCTGAACTGCAGGCTGTGTTTACACAGAGCTGAATAAATTAAAATTATATGTAGTAAAATATCCACAGTATGTAGAGTCACCATATGTTTACAGCATTGGTGATGCCTGTAGGCATGTGGACGATGTTGTGCATGTTGATTCCATGTTTTGTTTTTTTAAAAATTGTTGTACAAAGTAATCAAAGAAATTCAAGGTTTTTTCTTCTTTTTTTATGATTTATGCCGTTATAAATGTGTTGTACTGCACAAACGTCCTTTCTGAGTTCTCTCTCCTTCCAGCCATGGTTGTTTCCACAGAGGTGCAGGTCTTTATATTGTGGTTAATATCACATTGGGATTTTATAAACACTAAGATCTGCCAAGCAAACAAATAAATAAACAACAACTAACAGTTCGTATCCTAAAGTTGGAAATATTAAGAGGCTATGAAGATTTTTCATAATAAACCAAAGTTGAAGGTTGAGAATATTTAATTGGATATTAAAAAATAAAAAATGCCAGGTAACATTGAATTAAACACCTCAGTAGCACCATTTCGTGGAGATTTTGGTTCTGCAGTGAAGAAGAATTTTGACAGAGTAGTTTCTTCTAAAGCTGAGGTCGGCAAGTTGAGCCAACAATGTCTGGAAATGACCAGTATATCCAGAATACGCCTCATGATGAACTGTCTCCCAGTTTGGGATCCTTCAGCAGACTACATGACTACATGTAGACCAGAGAAGACCTGAAGGCCAGACAGAACCTCCTCCAGAAACTAAACAGAACTACTGGGAGGGTTCCTTGTCTACTGGTCAAGTCAAGAATGTTGGAGGTCAAGACACAGAGTATGAATATACAAAGCGATGTCCTCACATTGACCTGAGTTACATTTCATCCCCTATCCTCTGTCTCCCTTCTCGTTTCCTGTTATCTCCAGACTGTTAACGTTTTTAATAAAGGCACGACATACCAAAGAAACAAACAGATACTAAAAAAAAATTCCACTTATCAAGAAGAAGTCGTTCCCAAAGTGTTCGGGAAATTCCAGTTAACAGCACAAGTTAAGCACTGGAGTTCATAAAACCAACATATAAACAGGGCTTTAGTCAACCACTCGATTCATCTCCAACGGCTTTCATAGAAAAAGACCGTGAACCATGCCTCGCTCTCATTACCCACACCGAGTAGTAACATTCAGCGCTGTATTACATCTCCTAATGATCAATAAATGCAAATACGGGGTGAGTACACCGTGGTGAAATGATCTTTTGTGATTTTATGAGTTGACAAGGATTACCTGAAAAGCTCTATTCAGCACAGCTGGTGCAATGTCATTCAGCAGGCAGGTTGTTATAACTAGAGCCTCATCTGGTGTAAGTGTCAGGCAGCTTTCTGAAGTACACCTCTCAATGAAATAAAGACACAGCGGAAACGCTTGGCGCTTGTCTTTCACATCATATCACCTTTCCTATTACATTTTGGCATCATGGCTGATCATATAATACCTTGTTAGGGCTGTTGACTTATACTCGTCGCAGAGCTGAGTTCAGCCAGCATGAAACGCGAGCAAGGCCGGAACCATTATCAGTGATTTGTTTGGTCAATCCTGTGTTATTAGAAGCACACTTTAAAAGATTATGCATCTCACGGCAGTGTCTTGAGTTTCCAATAACTCCTCGACTCTTATTTGTCTATGATGGAATCACTGAAACAAATGCATCCTTGTCACACAAAACAAATAAACAAACAAACAAAAACAGTCATGCATTTTGGTTCTTCCATAGATTTATAAATCTTCTGGACATATCGAAAAATCTGCTGGGTCAAAAATATAGCAACAGCAATGCTAACATTTGACTAAATGTCCTTTGTTTGCAGTTTCATCTTTTAGTTTCCGTCCACAAGGAACAGGTTCTTGATGGGGTTGAAGCCTGGACTTTGTGAAAGCCAGTCGAAAACCATAATTCTAGCCTGATTCAACCATTTCTTTACCATTTCTGATGTGTCTCTGGGGTCGTTATCTTGCTGAAATACCCAAATGTGGAATCCAAATCCAAGATCTGATCTTCTGCCTCATGACTTCAGGTTTTCTCTGACGAGTAAAGAGGTAATCCTCCTTATTTGTGATTCCATTTACTTTGTGGGGTGGCTGCGGCTCAGGTGGTAGAGCGGGTTGTCCACTGATGGCAAGGTTGGCGGTTCGATCCCTGGTCACCCCCCGACATGCCGAAGTGTCCTTGGGCAAGACACTAAACCCCAAGTTGCTCCCAATGGCAGATTAGCGCCTTGCATGGCAGCTCTGTCACCAATGGGTGAATGCGAAACACATTGTAAAGCGCCTTGGGTACCGCTAAGGTAGAAAAAGGCGCTATATAAGTGCAGACCATTTACCATGTTTTACCATTTTGTGTAAAGCACCAGCTCCACTGGCACCAAACCAGCCCCAGAGCATGATACTGCCACCGCCGTGCTTGAAGGTGGGTTCTGTGTTCTTGGGGTTTAAACACTCACCTTCTCAAACATATTTCTGGTCATTGTGGCCAAATGTCTCAATGTTTTAGGTTTCATTTGACCAGAGAATTTCCTCCAGAAGACCTTTGTCCGTGTGATCAGCAGCAAACTTCAGTCGAGCCTCAAGGTGCAGCTTCTAGAGGAAGGGCTTCCTTCATGCATGGCAACCTCTCAGCACATGGAGACGTAAAGCACTGTGGACACTGACAGCTGCAGCTTTCACACATCTTTGCTGGGCTCCTTGGACTTACCCGTTGTAATGTTTGTGGCTGAGACCAATGAGTGTATCGGCTCACTGGAGTGTATTTAAACTGGCTGGGAGGATTCAGCAGCTCTAGTCAATCATAATCACTCACGAGAAGTTAAGAGGCCACGAAGAGAATCTGATCAACTGTCTACATCACCAAAACTCAATCTGCTGTATTGTTGACCCAACAAATGTCTTCATTTTTCCAGAATACCTGTAATAAATCTATGAAAGAACCAAAGTGCAGGATTGTTTTTGGTGACATGTTGTTTCAGCGATGCCATCATAGAAGACTGAGAGTTACAGGAGTCATTAGAAACTCAAGGTGCCGTGATATACATGGTCTCTACAAGCGTATGTAGATTTGGTTCACAGCTGTACATTCATCAGCAGCTCATGTTCTGTGGTGAGCAACATCAAAATATTGAGCATGCTGACATGTTTGTCTTTACTATGAGACAGAACGATTGATGGATTCGCATGCAGATACGCAACATATGGAGTTAATTTTTTAGGTCTCTGTCTGTTGTTCTTTTTTATTTTTTTTATTTACACAGCCAGACAGAATCCAGTGTGTCTGCTTAAACCCACCGCTTCGCTCACTCTAACGCCTCTCACATCGTGGAGACAAGCTGTCTTAGAGAAATCAGCAAGACAAACAGAATGGGAGCAATAAACAGGATGTGCACTACAAACACTCTTCTCTCTTAGCAACCATCTACTGACTAAGAGCAACACTAAAGCAAATAGCAAAGCAGTGGCTGCTAACCTACAAAAGCACGGGAGCCTACTGGGAAAATGGGATCATATCACAATGAAACCACCAACAAGAAATATAGAGTACAGTAAATTTGAATTGAGGAAAAAAAAAGACACATTTCTGCATATATTTCAGTCAGCCTTGTCAAACATTGATTGCATTATTCACATAAGGTGCCTCAGCTACAAAAGCATCACACATTAACCCTCTAAAAATAATAAAAAAGCACTTTATCTTTTTAAAAATACCAAAATTACACCATTTATCATAATCAGGAAGTGTCAAAACAGAAAGAACTGTCAGGTTTTCAACACTCCTTGAACTAATCGTGTGAGATGTGAAGTTCTGTGGAGGTGAAGAACCAAATCAAAGCTTAAGGACAGGTCTACTGTGGATGATTGGTACGAGGAGGTCCTGAGAATACTCCCTGTGGAAAAGCTGACCTACACCCTTCATGACAACACTGAAGGACTTATGAAGACATGGCGACCCATCCTGGACAACGTGGACATTATGGACCCATTCCAGTCTGGACTTTGCTCCATTAGGTCAACACTGTTCCAGTCAGTTTGAGGAACCACGACACCCTGGTGGTGTAGAGGGGTGGATGTCTTGATTGTTTGTTTGGTTGGTTGGTTGTGTGAGTGTGTTGTTGTTGTTTTTAACTTATTTATCTTTATTTTTATTTAATATCTTGTTAGAATACTTTTTTCTACTAGATGTGTAAATTCTTGTATATATTTGTCTTATTATCTTGTTTTATTTTTTATTAATATTTGTTGTATTTTATTCTTTTCTTTCTTTAGTTATTTTACTTTATTTTATTTTTTAATTTTCCTATTTCTATTATTGTGCACCAACAGCCGAAACCAAATTCCTTGTATGTTGTGTACATACTTGGCCATTAAAGCTGATTCTGATTCTGAATAACTCTATGTTATGATCCAATGATCTTTGTGGAAAAGTACGAGAATGCTGTAGATGTTCATTGCCTTTATTTCACCTTGCGAGTGTGAGATAAGACGTCTGTAGCGGGTAGTCAGAACACCATGCCTACACACACACATTTGCGGAAGGTTGTCTTCTGTTTTCTGTATATAAGAACCAACGCTTCATGCTTCTAGTCAGTCACTTGTTCAGACTCTGTGCTGTACACGTTGCTCCTTGCTGCAAGCAAAACTTTGCTTTGACTTAAGAGACGACTCTGTGTATTGATTGGGAGCAGTTAGGACTCCACTGAGGGATTTTCCTAACATCTCTGTTTGTTTGCTTTTTGATAGCTGCTGTATGTTCATGTCGGTTAAATGGTTTAAAATAATAATAATAATAATAATAATAATAATAATATTAATATTAATAATAATAATAATAATAATAATAATAATAATAATAAGGTTCAGCTTTGTATTGTTTTGGACCCGTAAAAATAATAGGAACCTCAATGAAGAGAAAAAAAACCAAACAACCCTTATTTCACCTTATTTTGCATGTGTCATTTAAATATAAATGATTGGTAAAGGTAGACAGGAAAAAAAAAAAAGAAAAACTTCTGGGCTCCTCAGAGCAGCTGATGGAGTTGTTGGAAAGTCAGCTGTGGCTGAACTGCAGGCCGTGTTTACACAGAGCACAGATGAGACAATTATTAAAACAAATTAAAAATCTGATTACATTTTTTCTCCCCAGTATTTATAACACTTGTGGACACTGGTAATTTCACTTATTGTCACTTTTTGTCAAATAAATAATAATTAAGAAATCAAAAGTAATTTAATTTCTACTTTTTTTTTTTTTTTATCATTAATTGCATCACGACTGTCTCATCCTGCACAGAAGCCATTTTTGAGTTCTCTCTACTTCTAGTCATGGTTGTGCTGTTTCCATAGAGATGCAGGACTTTATATTGCAGTGAAAAATGAGTCCAGGGTAAGAAAAAAGTAACAGGAGCAACAAAAGAAGACGGTGCTTGGGATTCAGAGGGTTAATGTATATGCAGCTGCAGATCCTTGAGTCACACAATTGGAAATCCGGTTAACTGTACGACAAGGTGACGGGATAATGGCCGCACGCTGGGCTCACGCTATATCACACAGACTTGTGCGATGTGATGATTGAAATAACCTTCACACACTTATGCAACCGGTAATTTAAAGCCCCAAATTATATCATTAGCTAGTGGAATAATTAAAACCAGTCAGATGCAAATTGTACAGTTTTAGAAGAACAAACTTGTCAGAAGTCTGGATGTGTGCGTTTCCACACCGATGCCGTAATGAAAGTTAATTCTTAGTCCTTGTGGGTGTCCGTGACGACGGCGAGTGAAATTAGCTTGTTATGGTGTGTCAGTGGTATCCACAGGTAGTAGTTGTTGTTGTTGTTGTTGTTGTTTTGTGGAGGGCCAAGAGTTTGCATGTTTGTTTCCAACCAAACAGTGCAGCAGGGACCTCAAGTGCTTTCATTTTTAAATTTAATTAAATATACTTATCTTTCCCCAATGGCATGCTTCACTTTGATTATTACTATTAGGTTGTATCATCACCTCAACCCCGCCGTGACGTCTCATACGTCGTCGCCACCAACAGAAATCCATCCACTGCATTGGTGGTCGGACGGAGACATTCAAGAGATATCTGTTAAAACCTGGATAAACAGAGCCAAAATGTTCTTGGCTGCATACCACCGGGGGAGAATGTGAGAAAATTTTTTTGTTTTCTGTCATTTGGATGAGCTGACCCAGTGAGAAAACGGTATAAACGAGGCCCCTGGTGACTGAATAAGTCAGCTGCTGTCATGTGTGGTTGAAGCCAAAACATGCCGGCCCCTGGCCCGTGACAGGAGGCTACACCATTTAAAAGCACTCTGTTAAGATTTAGTACAGCCTGGTGAGTTAGAGCCCCGGCTTGGCTTCGCAGCAGAGCAGACAGTGTTTTCTGACACAACGCAGGAATCCTTTTTTTTTTTTTTCCTTCCGTGAATCATGCAAAGTCTGAGAACTAACCAGACCGTGCAGCAGGAAATAACAGCACGGCCAAAAATAAATAAAAAAATGGAACTGCTTAGTCAACTTTGAGATGCTGTGACCGTCTCTGCGTCTCACACTGAACATTTTGCTGACAAAAATAAACAGGGACAAGCAAATAGAGCAAGTCTAAATGTGTACTGGAACTAAATGGGCTAAATGAAGTGTGCTATGTGGCTAATGGTTTACGTATTTAGTGCACAGCTAAATGTAGTGCTTATTAGATGTGAGCTTAATGACAACACTTCTGCTCTGCAATTAAAAAAATTAAATAAATAAATAAAAAAATGGGGGTAAAAAAAGGGGGACGTCTACAGTGTCAGTCTGGGCTAAACAACTAGAGTCAGGCTACGATGTTGAAGTTGATATACCTCGTATTTGTCTGGTCGCGTCCAAGAAGCCTAGAGAAGACAGAGGAAGCAAAGACAAACAGCGACACAGTGGGGCAAAGTAAGCTTCAGGAGATTATCCACACAGAATGAGCACACACTGGATTCACCTGCAATGATTTCACGTTGGACAGGCAGCGATTTTGAACGTTTCAGACCAAACACACATATTCATTGAATCGAAGTGCATTTTGTTTCTTATTTGGAAATGCACCTATAATGTCAGTTAGATTGAAAACACACATATATATATATATACTAGATAAATTACTCAACTGAAGCTTCAAGGCTCTTCATTGATTTGCATTTCCTTGAAAAATAAACCAACGTTTTCCTGAAAGGTAGCACGTCTGAACATCTACAACGCTGCTCGAGATTCATAAAAAATTGCACCGATGCAGATTACAAGGATTTTCTTTCAGACTGGATTCGAAGCTGCATTCAATACAAATTATGACTGACTCCGCCATAAATAACTCGCGGCACGTTCCCAAGCAACAGGACGATCTGGCATCATCAGCACTTCTTAAAAGTGAAGAGCACCGCGACGGCGAGGTCACGGCGTCTGACTTGGCCGTTCGATTGCAAAATCGGGGGAAGGAACAGAAGTGGTCAAAGTGCCAAACTGGAGCATATTTTCCTGAAGCAGCAAGAGGCCTCCTCAGCTGGCTATTAATTAATGTACTGTAATAAGAGAGAATTTGTTGGCACACGGAGGAAAACAAGGTACTGAAACTAATTATAAGTGAACCACCACTGGCACCCAGGGACGTTGTTTTCCTAATCAGCACCTTTTCTCATCATGGCATTCTGTGTTTTGATTAACCCATTCACTTATGCGCTTAGCCTCCTTTAATAACAGCTGCACACAGGTTCTAATCTAAAAAAAAAAAGGAAGAAAAAAGTGTGAATGTGCAAAGAAAGTCTGGAATCCAATATTAGGCACAATGATACCATCAGCTATACTTTTTTTTTTTTTTAACAAGACAGTGATTCAAAAGAGGCAGAAGCAGCCAGTGAAATTACTGCCCTGTCATTGCACATCATTATGAATCTGTCTGCGCGCTTGTAGTCTGGCTGGTACAATGTAGGACTAGAACGTGAATGGAGGACGGAGCGTGGCAAACAGGAAACCGATGATGAATGAAAATTAGTGACAGCTATTACAAAATGATCAGCGGGGTTTTTCCGAGCACTGCAGCATTAAGTCAAAATCGATCTGACAGTGACAGATAGGAGAGAGAGGGATGATGACAGGCCGTGAATGGGAAGACATTTGGTGACAACTGTGAATGGCGACAGGCGAGTCCTGTCTTGCAGGTGGAAGATAAGATTCAGTAACTCCCAGTACAGCCACGAATGCCTCCGCTGATTGGCAGTGATAAATGGCAGCGTTAATAGGGGAAAAACTGGGGATGTTTCAGCTGAGTCAAATGTATAAATTCTCTTTGGATCATCTTCCAGCACAAACGGGTGAGGATGCAGCTGGCAGTGGATGGGACAAACGTCCTTCATAATGATGTTGTTATTTGCAGCAGATTTAGCAGGCATTTTATCCCTATTAAAAATCTCTAAAATTACATAATGTGTTGCAGCCAGAAACTTTAAAAGCAGAAAAAATCCTCAGATTTTTACCTTACTGTGCTAATTGTGTGCAATTTCCAGTTTAATCGGGTAAACTGACCTGAAATGGTGATATTTCATCAAAATCGCGTTACTCTACATGCCTTATTTGTAAAATTCGCCAAACTTTATGTGTTTGTGCTAACCAGTTTCTATAAAAACCAAAAAATTCTGCACTCTGTGGCGCAACCATAGAGTCATGAGTCGCTCAGCTGTGATTAACATGCATGTGACGGAAATTCAGAGACTATTCAGGTGAACTGCAGCCTGAGCAGAAAACGCGCGTTCCTGTTTTTTAGATGATTTACGGTATTAGAACATTGGTATAATTCAACTATGTCTTGCTGTTTCCATGTGACAACTGTTTGGGATTCAGAGGGTTAAAGAATCTCCAAATCCAATATTAACACATTCCTCGACAAGTATTATCTGCATTTCCAAAGCCTGATAAATAATATTCTTCTGGCTCCATTGCACAAAAACTAGAAGAAACTCCAAGTCTATTGTTCACTTTGAGTCATGCTGCTGCTGTAAATACCAGCTTCACTTTCAGTCCCCAACTAATGCTCTGTTTACTCCTGTTTACTGTTTGCTATTTTAGGACTTAAAACATTGTTGGTTGTGTTCTCTTGGGATTTGTTGGCAATTAGAATACTACCAGGCTTATTTATTACTGAAAAGTTTATGTATTTCTTTTTAAAATTCCCGAGTGAAAAAAGTGCCCCCAAAGCGTCACGGCGTCTTCAGTTTGACATCATTATATCAAGAATCAATGGCTCATTTCACAGTGACGTATCTGACGTTTAAAAAGCTCTACATGGCAGCTTTAATTCATCACGCTGCAGCAGCTGACGAAGCATGTGAGGTAAAATAGGCCACAGTGGCCCAAATATTGTGCAACTTCATGTCCTCTGGGACGGACCAGGACAGGTGCTTTCGCTGCAATTACTGTGTGTGTCTCCTAAAATAGTTTACCTGCTGTTACATGCTTGTATCTTTTAAACATCTACACAACAACGGTGTTTCTGAATGCAGGGTAACTACCTGGGTGCTGCTTTTATATAGATAATTTCACAATAGTTACCTGCTCATTAAAAAAGACCTCTCAAACAGGGAGTGTCTTCATAAAGGTCCTGTGTGCTGCTGAATGCTGTTCAAGGACAGTTTATCTCATATTTAACTAGAAATCTGTATATTTTTGGCAGGAACTTGACAGGAGTGATTTGAAACTGTGCAGCAGGGATAAAATATTCTATAGGGTTGCAATTATTATTCAGCTTTTTTAGGTGAAATCTTGTTTTCTGGCAAATATTTTGAGACCAGCAAGTCCATGACCCAGCCTTTCTGAATCTCTGATGCAAGGAAAATACACAGCACCTAACTTTTTTTTTTTGCTATCAGAGGCAATATGGGCATGTATTATTATTTTTTCAGTATCTAATGCAAGCTAAAGTGCAAACCAACATAGAAGCGATCCTTTCTGAATCCACAAACCTGCTCGAGGCAGCAAGGTAATTATCTTAATACTGTTTACTGCCTTCACAGCAGAAAATTACCCCTCTGAAGTGACTAATCTGTCTGCTGCTCACATGATGCATGTTGTCAGAATAGACCGTTAAGATGGATTTTTCAAAATTATACCATTTTAATGAGCTGATAAGAGCATAACAATGGGCTGGGGATGAGATTCTCTCGTCGGGCTGCCGACTGCCAGAACGCTTTGACCACTGTAAAGCAGAAAAATGCACAGAAATGGTATTCATGGCTCACACGTCTAGAGAAGCCTTTTACCATGTTCTATAGGCAGAGCTTTAATCCAGTGTTATCTCCAGTCCTCCTGAAGGACATGAAGAGAGAGAGAAAAAAAATGGAGAATACATGCCAAAGCATGACAAAGATACATAACCCTTATGTGGCTTCTTTACTCATATCATGTACGTCCTGGAAAAAAAAAAGAAAAATCGAAAAAGTGCCCATTCATTTCCCAAGTGGATTATCACAGCGGTTTGCCAGAGTGGCATAACTGAGCTCAAAAACATCTGATTCACTGCAATAATTAGGCTAATGTCACCGAAATCGTTTCTCTGCTCTTCCCTAGTTAATTTTCTTTGAATTTCCAATGAGCACTTTTCAAAGTAATTTTGCAAAAATACCCCCTTTAAATGCAAATTATTAATAGGGAGTGAAGTAGCATGTTAGATATACTGTTAGCAACACTGGGGAGTACCGTGCCCACGGAAATGCCTGGAAATTGGTTTCATAGCAAACTGCACACTCTTCCCCCCCCCGGCAGTCACAGTGGAAATGTTCAAAACCATTAAAACAATTCCGGCAACAGTGGAGAAGACTGTCAAAAGTTATAGGCAGATGGCAGAATCCAAACTTTACTCTGAGAAGATTCAGGTGACAATAAAGGATTCGGTAAAAGAAGAAGCTGTGGCTGTGTGAAGCACTGGAAGTAATCTGAGTTTATTGGCTTTTAATGATCTGAGGTGGAAAGTGATGGAATTAAAGGTAACTGAAGGGATTTGAGAAGTGAAAGTGGTGGCGTAAAAGCTCAGATGAGTGTGTTAGCTTCATGACGAATGGGAGTCGTGCCTTGTTTTTCCTTAAAATCAATGAGTATTGAGAAGAGATTTGTTCAATAACGGCAAATCCACGTCTGACAGTGCAGGCGATCATGGCTACAGAGCATTATCTGGTAATATATGCAGGTTTTATTCAAGCTTTCGACCAACTGGAATATTAAAAACATGACAGATTTGCTTAATTTTTTTAGTTTATCTAGATATAGCTGAATGCTAATTGTTGTTTAGCATCTTGCTGCAAAAATAATGCCGATATTTAACGTGAAAAAGTCAAAGAATACTGAATGGAGTTGAAGGAAACGTCGGTATTGCAGGGTGAGCTGACCTTTCCATCTCTAATGTCCCTATTCTCTGAGGTGCTGCAGTGTTGGAAGGACTTCAGTTCTCATGACCTGGAATTTAATATTAGCCAAGGTTCCAGAGAGAGTCTTTACCTTGTAATTCCTTTCATACACCAAAGCTTGAAAACAAACAAACAAACTGGTACCTGCTCTCCTTCGGTGAAGACTCTGTTTCCGAAGCTCCAGGAGATGGCGGGCGTGGGGTCGCCGGACGCCTCGCAGGTCAGGGTGACCTGTTCGTCAAACTCTGAGGCAGTCTGGTTCATCAGGTAGGTAATCACGGGTTGCACTGGAACATCACAGAAAACACAGCGTTCAAGACACCGATCAGGATTGCCGCAAACATACTTTGTTTGTTGCAGCCGTCTGCTGGCATCTGATAGCGACGTTGCCCCTCGAAGCTGTATCATTGTCATTCCGCATGCATTGATTTCTCTGAGGTGAAACAAGCCCGGCAAACACTTACTTCATAAAATGGCACGTTATCGCCTCATAAAGCTGTTATGGCAAAACAAACAACGACCTATTTACACCTCCTGACAAGGAACAATGCCTCTTGATGAGCGCAGTGTCAAACACTTATTCTCTTTTTACCTCTGCCCTCACCTGAGGAGAAAATAGCTGGATTCATAGCCGGCAGACGCTCGACATTCATGAACATTCACCCAAAAGGACCAAAACCCAGGAAGCATTTTGTTCGCTGGACTCTTGCAATGAAAATACTGTTTGGTCCATAGTGATTAATCAAGTGTGCGCCTCTAAGGACGACAGAAAAGGTTAGAAACTACCGTTTTTTTCTCGGCATGCATAGTCTCATTACAAAGCGAGGGACTATTTCTGCTGCTGCTGCTGCTGCTGTGATGTCGGCATCTGAAAATAGTTCCACTGTTTCAATCGCGAGGCTTTCAAAGGGTGATTCAGACTGGGCGGACACCATTCAAAACACAGAATTTTTAAGGAGTTAACAACTACTTGCTAAACTAGGTTCCCTTTTATTGCTGGTTTTTGATGGTCGTGGAGCCTTAAAACTCCAACGATTAGCTAAAAGTGGCTAAAAAGCTCTGCAGCGCTGCACAGCGGGCCGATAATTGTCTGTGGGTTTCGACACCTTTTACGTGATGACTTGATCCATCGCTTGCATGCAAACATTAAATAGCGAGACATTTTTAACAATGCCGTAGTAAAAATATAGAGAGAGGCTTCATTAGAGGTGTGGTTTCATACCCCATTGACCTACAACGGAGCCACAAGCACATGATTGCATAATTTCCTCATGGAGAGGACCTCTAGCGTGATATATCTTTGAATGTCCTAAGGGGTGGCTTAATTAGTTTTCAATAGGACACGCTGTATGCTTCACGCTGTGCACCCCTACACCTAACAACTAGAAAAGCTGTAGAGGAGTGTGAAGCAAATGTCAATAGGTAGGACAGGAAAAAGGCCAGAGAGAGAAAACAACACAAAACAAAAGCGCCACAGCGTTCTCTATGCAGTCGTAAGCAAATGGAGTTATTCTCTTACCGAACACGTTCAGGCTGACTTCCTCGGATTTCTCTCCCGCCTTGTTCTTGGCGATGCAAGTGTAATCTCCTTCATCCACTTTCTTGACATCTTTTATTTCCAATTCTGAGCCATCCCCGTTCAGGCTGTACTTATCGCCCGTTTCAAGGACGACGTTGTTACTGTAGCAGAAGGAGAGGGAGAAAAAGACAAAGGTTCACATCACAAGCAGTTGCTTACACAACTTGAGAGGCCTACAAATAAGTTTCTTAACTCGCTGACAACGAGCCGTTTGGGGGTTTTATCTCATGAAGCGAGCAGCTGCCGCACAACAATGGCTGGGAGAGCAAAAAAAGCTGTCCTTTACTGTCTTTTACATCTCCAACATTTCCACAGCTTTTGTTTGCCTCTGTTCTCCCGCAGCCTTTACAACTGTGTTTTTAGGAAGGCCACGGACCGGCTGGATGATGATGATGCATGTTTCTTTTCCTCTCTCTTGCTCCAGAGAAGCAGACCTTCAACTAGAGGTTAAAATCCTGTTTGTAGAGAATTAAGTGTTTGTATGCCTGGAGTAGCAGCATCCTAGAGCAGTTTGCAGGCAGACAGTGAATGACAGGCCTGTCAGAAGCCCCAGGAAACCAGAACAAATAGAGCCTTACCCCTATGTTTTTTCACCGCCTCGCCCATCTGTCCTCCCAACAAGCACACTGACTGTCTTAACCCTCCTCTGGCCAGGAACTACATCTCCCTCGGCTTCAACACCCACATCACACACCAGCTTTGCGAGCACGGAAGACAGCTGTGAGCAGGATCTGAGTTCAATAGTCTGATTTATTCGCATCGCTACAAAAAAAATAAAATGCTTTATCTAAAGGTTCCTCTGCACAGCAGTGGCGCTGCTGCGAGACACCGCCGAACGGCGCACCGCGAATATGAAAGTACATTGAGAAAACAGCTGCACGGCAAGAAAGGAACATCGGGTATTTTGTACGAGTTGTCAGAAATGAGTGGTGATCGAGCGTCTTTTAAATCTGGAGATCCGGAGGTTTAGAAGCAGGTCGGTCAAACACCCACAGCGAGTCTCTCGCTGAGATATCTCCTCATCTTTTGGTTCCGCAAGGAGCAAAGAGTAGAAAACACTGCAAGCTTCTCATTGTTAGCTTTTGCTGACTGTTGTTTTTGTACCAGATTATAGCAGCTTTAACATTCTGTGAGCGTCTCGCCTAAAGGCCAAAATGCAACTTGGCTACGGTTTCTACAGCGCGCTCCGTGCAAGCTGGTATCTCACCATTTGTCAGAGTAAGAGGAAGCGTTCTATAACACCATTGTGCAACCGGCGGTGGATTGTTTCTACTTTTGTGCATTTAACACTGATGTTTTAACAAGTCGCTGTCTGGCAGCCGCCTGAATCGTGGCTGTTGTTTTGCAGGAACAATTGCAGAAGCGGTATTGATAGGGAGCCTCAAAACCTCGCGGAGAGGAAGTCAGTTCGGAGGGATGGATCAAGAAAAATGTTGGCGTTGGCATTGACAAACGACGCCATTCTGCCAGCGTGCAGTGCCGGCGCTGGATAGATATTGTTTATGAAGAGCAATGAGATTTAAGAACATGTTATTTGGTTTGGAGATGATGTGAGGAAGATAAGGCGGGCAAAATAAATCAGTCAGAAACTTATTAAATCATCATTTCATGTCGGATACGGCACTGTTCAGGTTGTATTTACAGGTTGTGACGGTTACTATAATTGTCATGTTTTGCCTCTTATTGACAAGTGAGGCCCTGGATAGGCAGATTTATTACTGTATTCAGTTTCAATAAAATGCAATCAACCCCCACCCTGGTTGTTCCACTCGTGTTTCTGTTTTTGGAATGCCGTAACCAGCACTCAGTAATATGTAAATCAGCTTTTAAATACACTATAATCAATCAGAACGCAGTCATCACTGTAAAAAATGGATATTCCTGCTGGATTATGAGCCTAACAGGGCACTTTAGCATTTATGAGCCATGATTGCCAAGCGAAAGTATTTATTAACAACACGCTTTATGCAAGAATTTGCTTTATTAAATGTAAATGTCAACCTTTTAACGGGAATCTAAAAGCAGCTGCCGCGACCAGGTGCAGATTCGGTGTGAGTTTTCACACATAATCACGCCAGCCAGATCAAACCCGTATGAAATTTAAATGGTGTGCGCAAAGGGGAAACTCTGTCTAAATAATACTCATCAAAACCTTTCTGCTACACTCATGCAAATGTAAATACATGTAGATCTTATCATTTCTCCCACACAACGTTTTGCAGGCAAGGCCATGCAAATTCAGATTTGTGCCCTATCTGCAAACACTTTGCACCACCACCTCCCTGAAATTGATGTTGTGTGTACGCAGGCCTTTCAAACAAGGCACACACACACTTTAAACAAAGAGTTTGGCTGCAAAGTCTGTGAGAAGCTGGCAGCAATAGCAGCAAGCAAGAGAGGTAACATCCTTTTATCTCCGACTTGATCAGAAGGCCCAATTTATAAACAGGCACAAAAGCGAGCAGCCCCGGTGGATTACTCAACCTGAAATATGCAATTTGCACTTCCAGTTGGTGTTCAAGTGCCCCTCCGTGGGGCTTGTTCTGACTTGATTTGCATATGCAATATTAAAAAGGGAAAAAAAAGAGACAACAAAAACAACAACAATACCCTCCTCTTGTTCTTCTTCCTGATCAAGAAGTATGTTTTAACCGCTGAACATTTTTCACTTTTTTTTTTCATTTCTTTGTTTTCCTTTGAGGTCAAGAACAAGAGGTTTGGAAAACATTTTTTGCTCGGATCCACGTCTAATCAGATCGGTGGTTAATCCGAGCCCGTCGTTAGAGCAGGCGAGTGACATACTGTGCCCAGGTAACGGTGGGCTCGGGGAAGCCGTCCGCATCGCAAGCCAACAGAGCCGAGCTGCCAACATCTGCTGTAGCGTTGACCTCCGACTGCCGGGCACGGATGGTGGGAAGCACTGAAACAGACGAAAATAAAGTTACAGGATAACTATGAAGTGCGTGCAACAAGTGCTTAAGATCACATTTAGAAGAAACTCTGTAGAAATGCAAATTTAAAGCTGCAATAACTGATTTTTTTGGCCACTTGGGAGCAGCAGAAGCAAGATAAAAACCAACTTTCCAGCAGGGCGTAACATTATCATTTACTCGGGGTTGTGTCCCTGATGAGCATAATTATTTTTTTTTGTCTCTACCAAACTCCCGAAACAAATAATTCCTGCTTTAGCTGCTGCACCGTGTTTATCAGCTAACTGTGTCTCAGTGACGTTTGGTTTGGTGCAGGTACAAACTCTGTTCACTGGGAAAAAAAAACAAAAAAACTGCCTCCCACAGCCAAAAAACAGCACAGAGGGAGCGGTGAGAAAAACAGCTAGCGATGAAGAAAGCTAAACAGTAAGAAAAACATCACTTTACAGCTGGTGGAAGCTGCACGTTTTGATTACTCTGTCGGGTAATTGCTTCTCGTCACATTTTCAGTTGATAAACTTTTACTTTTGCTGCTTTCAAATAACGACTTTGCATTTGTGGGTGATTAAATTCCTCTTTTGCTGTTATCAGTTGTGACTGATACGTTCCAAAATGATCCCAATTATGTGTTTATGCCTCCATTATACAATACGGTGAAAGAAAAAAAAAAAACTTACAAGAACTTTAACTACCTCAGTTTCCGTCAGAAAATGTAGGCAGTGGTTTGTAAGGTCAAATTGGAAACCTGTGCAGAGTTTTTGCCGTTGCTAGATGAATGTAGTATTTTAGCTGTCGTCAAAAGTGGCAGTAAATTAAAAGTCATAGCGTCAACACAACTCATGGACATCTACAGCAAAATTCACAGCATTCTCGCCTGCAGTTGTTGGATTTCTTCCTCTGATCCAACGAGTTGTACAGATGGACATATGAACAATATTTACGGCTTTAAAAACAACATTTCCAGGGGTTGAGGGTCGCCGCTGCTGTATCCTAGTTAATCAAAAACAGCCCTGATTTCGATGAAAAGCGTAGCGGTCAGAAGGCGACGGAGACGCAGTTCTCACCATTAACGATGACCTTCATCATCCTGAAGTCAATTTCTCCCCTGACCATGACGCGGGCCTCACAGTTGTACATGCCCTCATCCGTCTTCTTGATGCCGCGTATCTGCAGATGGCCGTTTGACATGATCCCGAACCGCACTGAACACAGAGGAGGCAAGCACAGAGGAGAATGAATCACAGGCGATTCAACGCATCCAAGGTTACAGAGATTACACCGACATCGCAAAACAGGCAAATTCTGTGCATATTACATAAACTCCACGTTCCCGTTTTGCTTGTTTTAGTTTAACACTTTGCGATAACATATTCAGTGCTTGATCTCCAGTTAAATTGTGTATTTATCCTCCCACAAGCTAAAATTAGGAATTAAATATTGTTAGTGAATCATAAAAAAAAAACAAAGAAAGGGCCATGAGTGCATCTAGGAGTTAAAGTCAAGTTGGTTATTTTCTTGACTACAGGACTTTCACTCTGCAAACATGCATAAAGGTTACTGAATCTACATGTTGGAGCCAGATAAAGACGACATACGGTATTTTACACCAAGCACAGACAAAATGCTGCAGCGCTAATTAAACAGCACACAGTAACAGAGCAAACTGTCTTCACTGAAACCAGGTGTTGTTTCTCACACGTTGCTGGGAAGGAACAAAAAAAAAAAAGCACCCAGCGATTATTAAAATCCAGACTTAAGTGTCTTAAAACAAAGAACCGAGTCATTATTGTTTGTTCCCAGTTTGAGAAAACTGTGAGCGAATCTGTGTTTAGTTAAAAAAGTCAGCGGATTAACTGACAGCTGTTGCAGTTTGGTGTAACGTTGATGGGAGACTCCTCTCCAGGTAAACCTGTGTCAAAGAGAGGCAAATAATAAAATCACTCATCCTTGATGCATGTAGGGAGGTGTTGGGTGGATGTTTGCCGAGCAACCGAATACACCTTTCCTCTTTTTTCCAATTTCATCCAATTTACTCCCCGCCGATTTCCCCTCAACCACTAAAACCATTAAACAATAGTTTGGTACCAGCTGTGGACGACACATCTCTGGAGTTTATTAACATTTTTGAGGCTCAGACGTCGGTCGGTTTTATGTTAATGCTCCCCACAGACAGAGCCGCAGTACATTCGATTTGTCATATGCACGAGGTTCAACAGAACATCCAGTGATGTATGAGGCATCGTAATGAACTAATAAACAAAACACTAAATCTAAGCTAATAGCAGCTTATCAAACTGTCCAAATAATGAATAGCCCGGTTTATTCATGATTTCCTCATCGCTGAGAATTCTGTCCGTGTGTGATGCTAATCTAAATGCTACTTTAGGGACAGTTAAATTTAAAAAAAATGGGATTCAAATGGTGGATTATGTAAGAAGTGATTTACCTGCAGCTGATCAACAGCATGTCTGACGCGAGAAGAAACGACGACGGTGTGACTCGCCATCAGACGCTGATCAATGCTGTCTCCATGTCAGGACAATTTATGATTACAAGCAGACTAATTAATGGAATTACCCCGTCGTTACACTGGTGTAAACGAGCCCAACTCTCTCCTCGTGAGTCCCGCTGCTGTCTGATGCTGCGAGGGATTTAATAAACTCAGAGGAAAGACGCCTGCAAAACAGCTGGGTGCACCGAATTAAACTTCAGCACAAATTAACGTTTTTGCTGAAGCCTGGATTGGATTCGGCGAGTCTCGTTAATGTGGCCTGTTCTGGCTTCGTCAAAGTTTCATGTTTAGGGACATTTCAGATTGTTTTAGATGTGAAACTGCAGCACAAAGTGGGCGAGAAAGTGGATTTTTCTGGTGCAGAAAAAAAAAAACGTCCCCAAACTGCTTCACACAGCTCTAAGTCCACACGGGAAAGTGTGACCAAGTGAGGTTGCTGTTTTACCGAAAAGTGACCAGAGAAGTCTGACGGGGCCTAAATTTGTTGATCAGCTCATACATTTGTGCTTTTTATCAGTTCCATCACTAAAAAACTCAAGAACAGACTCCTTCATGTTGGGAACTGAAGTTGAAAAATCTCCCAACTTTTTCTTTTTTTTTGAAGACAAGATATATTTCGTTAACCAGCTCTTAATTCATGTCACATTAGAATGACAGCGCCCTGTCAGGACGTTTAGCGGCGCAACACGCAGCGCACGGTCGGGTCAACTGCTGCTCCGAGCAAAAATTACATAAGCAATTTTCAGCTTTTCAGCGTCGGTTACAATTAGTGGTTTTTTCCAGTGAAAAACACATTCCTTGACAGGAGTCCAAGAATAAAGGCGGGCTTAGCACAACACTGTGGTGACTCCAGGCTCTCCGGCGGTCACCATGGGAGGGGTTACTCTGAGGTTAAAATAGGCCCGGTTCAAGTGTGAAACAAAGCCCCGGCTCACGTCCACCTCCCACAGCAGATTTGGAGATCTCGGTTGGACTCTCTGAGGCAGAGCTGCTTTTGGACCGAGTGTTCTTCCAAGAGAAAGTAGCTGTTGGCCGCACGAAGCTTCCCGATTAAATCATTCACAAATATTGTGCATGAAAGTATCCACAACACCAGTCACCTCATCCTATTGGCAGCAGAAGGCTGATAAGTTTGTAATGTTGTCTCGTACAAAAGTCAGTTTGGATTCACGTTGCAAGAACAAGTTTCAGAACATCCACACAAACTCGTCTGTCTGTTCCTGCGGCACCATTTATTTCTACAGTGTTTATTCCTATGAGCAGCATGTACACTCACAGTTTTGCCACAACAGAGCTAAATACCTTCGTTCTGTGTCACACTTCATAGCGCCGGAGCCCGTTTGCCGGCAAAGCAGTAATTGCTCAGAACATAGGGATCAACAATAGAGAAAAGGATTATAATGCAAGAGCGCTTTGAGAAGTTTCTATAGATCCCTTCATGTTTTTGTTTTGTTTGTTGTTGATGTTTTTTTTTTTCTTCTTCTTCTTCGGCTGTGACTGTGACTCACCACTGGAATCCATGGTAACGGCTGCAAATTGAAGCTAATTACAGCTTCCTTTCTCTCAAAAGAAGCAGGCAACAACCTTTTCAGAACCTCCTCTCGAGCCCACAGGCAGCGAGCAGTCGAAATGCTGACGAGATACACTTTCCGCGGAGTGTACCTTTAATAGTACAGTTACTACAGTGGCACACTTAAATTACATTTTAGGCTTTTTCTTCCCTTCTCCTTCCCCACTTTTCTCTCTCTTCTTTTTTTTTTTTATATTTAGTTTTTCAGCTGTAGTTCTGCCTCCATTTGGGGAAATTAAACTCCAATCTGCCCTCAGACATAACCACTTCTTGCAAGGCCAAAAAGTACAATTTCCATGTTCATGCATCATCTATGAGGTCTGAAAACTACTTCCTCCCCCCTCACTGAAAAAAGGCCCGGCTTTGTTCATCGACGGCGGGCAGGAGGAGACGGAGATGAGGAAGAGTGCGGCAAATTGATCGGAGAGCGTGGACCGGCAGACGGCGTTGGCAGGGAGGCGAGGCGGCGGCTCGGGGAGTCAAGAGGATGACACGGCATGCCAGGTTGGAGGTGAGAAAAGCAGCTCAAGCAGTTTTTTTCTGTTTTTTATTTTTATAATTTGAACTGGCTCACCGTCTTTGGCTGCTTGGATCTTGGCGCCCTTATACTTCCAAATAATGGTGGCTGGCGGCGAGCTGACAACATCGCAGACGATGTCGGCGTCGTCGCCCTCGTTGAACTCCTGCGGGTTTGGAGCGTTCTTGAAGGTGATCTTCTCTGTAGGGGAAATGTGACAATGCATACATTACACGTTTTTCAGAAACACCTTTCGCTTTCATACCGACTCTCCTAAAAAGGTGAAAACTCTTGTGCGGCTTCTTTTTTCGTTGGTTTCATCTTTATGTAATCACAGACGGTCGGCGGGGGGGGAGAGGAAGTTGAGGTAAAGACAGTTCAAAGACTCCACGCAGGCGATGTTAAGTCAGACAACACCGCTGAAAGGAGTGCAGCACTTTCAGTAATTTTAATAGGACAGCTCTGTTGAAAGAGCAGGTCAGCCGGTACAGACAGCTTTGCAAAAAAAAGTATGATCGAGCATAAAAGTGAACCTAATTCAGCCGTTGCAGCGAGGCGCGGCACATCCAAGTGCACAACGTCTCACTTTGGTACGAGACATTGCTGTATTTCTACCTGACTAGATTTGCAAATAAACCCCGATTGGGCATCTTCAAATCATTTAATTGCTCAAAATGTATTCTTTGGAGTGCATTTTATTGTCTTGAAGCCCATTTCAAAGTAAAAGCTTTGCGTCAAATGTATGCAACATGCTTGAGATGAACAAGAAAATATATTAAAAATCTGTTTGGAGATTTTTATCAGGAAGTCGTCTTGGTTGATGACCATCTAGCTCCATGTTCCAGCTACTGTTTACATCATTGCATTCCCTTTTAAGCACATATTTTCTGAGGTAACTGAATTAAATTTCTGCTAATTGACAAACACTTTCTTGTAAAGAAATGACGTGGAAGTTAACTACTTCCTGCATAATGTTGACTTGAAAGCAAAAATGAGGCCAGTAAACACAATGATCGATCCTATTTGAACCTCTTTGGCACGACCGAGCACAAATGCAGTTTCTAGTTTTGCAGAAAGTGCAGCATACTTGTGCCGTCAGTTCGGTTTGTTTCTGTCTCTGCTGTCACCGTCAACTGACAAGGAGCGTTCATTCTGCTAAATACTTGATCTGATTTGCACATAATACTTATCTTTCTACATGTTTTCTTTGAAAGTGATGCCAATTACTGCTCAACGTGAGCTCCTGAAATGACGCTGATTGGCAACGTGTAAAAACACTCTGAAGGCACAGTTCAAACAAAAGTCAGCGGAAAAACTCAAGACTGCAAAAAACAAAACATAGAATCCGAGACTCACGGATGATCTTCACTTGGACGGTGGCCTGGGCCTCCTTGTCCCCGTTCTTCGCCACGCACTTGTAGATGCCGGCGCTGTCCACGTTGGCGTGGTAGATGGTGAGAGTCGACGTGGCCTCATCGCTGCGGCTCACGAAGATGTCCGGCCTGTTGGGGAGGATCTTCTCACCGCTGGGGTCGTACCAGTCGATGTCTTTAGCATCTCCCACCACTGGAAAACACACAAGGAAGCTATTGAAAGAAGCCTACGGTTGCCTTTTAAACCCTGAATTCCTGTTTTGTGCATCTGCAACGTGCTGCATTAGCTCGCTTCAGCACGCCTCCTGCATTGATAGATGTGTCTCCTCCATCCTACATGTATTACTAAGCTGGTATCTGTAGTGGAGACCAACAGAAGCACATGTGTGACGTTTGTGGCAAATTGTACCATCTGGGTGTCAGGACAAGAAAGAACACGTTAATGCAGCAAATGAGATGCTTTTCTCATCGATCAGAATAATGTTTATGCATGACTTTACATCCTTAATGTATATCATCAAACAAGTTTAAGCAAGACTCCTTTGTGACATAGTGTAAGTGAACACAAACCAGACTCAGTGAAAGACTGAACGAGCTCAAAAATAAATCACGGCACCATGGTGTGACAATTGCCTGAAAACAGATGTCTCTTCCAGATCAGACCGGAGACATTTAACGACATAAAAAGGAAAGATGTGAATAATTTCTACTTTTCTTGGTGGGATTATTCAGTAGGAGGCAACTTTTGCTAAAAGAAAAAACAAAAAAATCAAACAACTTTTCTTCATTTTTTATGAAGACGAGACAGTTTCTGGATCTCCGAAAAGAAATTATTATTGTTATTATTATTTTTTAAAATCTTTTCTCTGAAGGATGCAGAAGGCTCTAAATGCATTCTGACATTCTTTCAGCTGAAGCTAAAGCCAAATTTTGAAGAAACAATAAATAAATATATAAATAAATGAATTAGTGAGCAGCATAAAAATGTCAAGGTTTCCACTCTAAGACGATGAGCTCGGCTTTTGTAGCTTCCGCGAGCAGCAGCGAAACAACAAGTCGTTAGTAATGATGATGACCTTCTTTTTAAAGGGTCAGTTCACCCAAACTACATTAAAAATATATGCTTTCTTATTTGGAGGTACAGCCTTGCAGAAAGTTTTTGTTTTATTGGCTTATGCTGGATCGATAGACCAGATTTTCACACCTGAGAATTCTGCCTCACCATCAAGACAATGCAGAAAGAATTCTTATTTTCTAGGATTCATAAATGAGAAAAAAAAAGCAGATTTCTATTCGCAGCAACGCCTGTATTTACAATAAAGATAATAACAATACTAACCTATGATGTTTACACTTTAATTTCATGCTTAAGAGCTGCATTAAAAATAAAGAAGCATCAACAGTGTCGACTGCTCGATCATCAAAATCTTGGAGCTGCTAATCTGCTCATAATACCAAACTTTTTTTTTTTTTGCCTGAGACTGTTGTTATGGTGACTTTGATGTGCAAAAACTAAACTGAACTGATGTGATAACAGGATTACTGGAGAGATCTGACAAAAGAGCAGAAGAAATATTCAACAAAGACGCACAAAGCGGCGACTGTGCGAGCTAGTGCTGCTCCGTGTGCCTTCTCCACCCTCAGTTTATTGTCCTGCTCCTCACTGGATGTGACTCATCTCCTGTCTCAGGTTCTCCTGCTGCAGCCGCATCTCATTTATGACACAAACGAGCACTTAAAAAAAATAAGTCATTGTGTCTGGACGGCCAGGTCAGAACATGTTCTGCTCAAATTAGACAACCAGCGTAGCTCCGGTCATCTTTGTTGTGCTGATGTTTTTAAAATATACGGATGAACGTTGTGTTTTCTTTGTAATTTGAGCAAACGAAATTGATTTATAACGTCGCCTGACTGGCATGATCTGTAACGCCAGACAAACGTAAACACCACATGCATCTGAAAACACAGAAAAAGTCTCATTAACTTTTCTCCCTCACCTCTGCTAAGCCCTGTGTCTTACCTGGCTATGATCTCAGCTTCCCACCGCCTCCTCAGAATAAACTCCTCAATCAATCCGTCTGTTTCGTTTTTTGTTTTTTGTTCTCCCACCAGTACACCGGTCTCATTATTTAACCCGACTCGTATCGCTTTTATCAGATGACCTCGGTTAATGCCGCCAACATCCGCTACGTGAGGTGACATTTGCATCAAGCTGTGCTAAATGAGTCTGAGCTCGCTCTTACCTTCGCAGAGGAAAAATTTGGACTCTCCGACGCTGATCTCCCCTTGTGTTGGAGTGATTTGCACCTGGATGGCAGCTGGATGGGAAGATAGAACAAAACATATACATTAGTGTCTGGCTCCGTTGAGATTTGACAGAAAGGGGCAAAGCACAAGAAGGAAAGGCTCAGAGTCAAATTGGCTTGCCTGCTCAAAGGAACAACCATGCTCAGCCGTGCCCGCCGCAAACGCAACTCTGGGATGAAATTTTTATGCTCACTAGACTGCAACATCTCAATGTGCAGATTTTAGACTCGCATGGCCCCCGCAGTTAGCAAGAAATCAGATTTTTCTTTTGTATTTACACGAGCAGCAAACCGCAGCGCTGAGCAAGGCTACGCAGGCCCTTCATGGCTTCACTTTGTGGTTTGTGTGAGATGATATCATTTCTTGCGATCCACTCCTGCTGTAACCTTTTGCCAGCAACACCTCCAAGGTGTGCGTTGCTAATGAATCATGTACCTGTGACAATCAACTGTCTGACACCTCACAGAGTCAAAGGCTGCTGTTGGCACCTCGTTGAAGCATTAAATTGACGGGAGAGAAGAGTAGCGCAGGGCTAAAGGATAACAACTACGTAAGACAGTCTAATAACAATAATACAGCTCTAATGAAGACTAGAAAAGGAATTAGATGAGCAAGATGATGCACTTTCACTTGTTTCGGGAGTAAGTTAATCATCAGTCTTCAGCTGCAGTCTCAAGTATATTCAGGAACATAATCTTAACATTCATTTATTTGCTCAGTGTTTGGAAAAGCCACCTGACTGAGTCAGTCCAGAGTGTTTTTGTGCTCATTTCCTCGTCCCTGCATCTCCTGGCAGATGATTTAGAAGGCATAATGCGGTAAATGAAAGATTATCCTTCTCTAAGACTGCAATATACTTCATCTCTCAGCATCAGCTGAAGCTACAGTGACAGAGATGAGATTTAAGAAGAGTACAGAGAAACACCTGCTGTTTGTTCCTTCCTGCCTACCAACAAACAGGAATTTAAAAAAAAAAACTCTTGCATATTCAAAGTGAAAACTGTTCAAATGCTTTTCCAATGGCTTAATCAGCAAATCATCGCTCGCACGTGTGCGGCGGAATTACGAGAGATGCGACGACTATTAGATGTGCGGCGGTTTATTATGAGGCTCCTATATCTCCAGTGATATGTGGCATGGGAGCGAAGCACAGCCTGTGAAGTACAAATACCACTGAATCGTGATCCGGAGCTTGACAGAGAAATCCCGCTGAGCCTTCAGCATGTTGCCACTTCACACAAATGAGTGAGTCAGTCTCAGCTCAATTCTCACCAGGAGATTCATGGGAATGGTTTGCAAGGACTTGCCATTCACAGACAGGTAGCCAACTATCATCACAGAGCAACGTGGCGTTCGTGTTTCATAATGTGACAGTCTCATTGCTATAGAAAAACATCCGTGACTAAGAAGAGGCTGTCACAGCGGTGGCCTTTGTTGCTCTTTTTTTTCTGCCTTTTTCCTACGCACACTTTATGCGAAAAAGCATCATCATTATGGTGTGAAGCTTAACCTCATTCAGAACGCAGGGATAAAGGCCGGAGCATTCAGAAATGCAAAAAAAAAAAAAGGACACACAATGTGCTTTTGTGCTCCAAGCATTTAGAGACCAACACTGCATTCCATGTTTGGACCTGCATTTACAAGGAAACATCTCAGGCATCCTGAATTGTATGAATTGTGGGTAAATAAATGTCTCTTCATTATCTTCGTGCACTATGTGACATGCTGTGAGATACGTTCACATAACCACTGCAAATCCTCACATAACAGCATATTTGTTATTTCCCATGAGCGTTTCAATGACCCTTTACTTCAATTGAGGTTATGTGGCAACAAAGCCGAGCTGAAGCGTTGGTTAAAGTTAGGATACCATCATCTTTTTGTGGTTAAAGAACCCCAGTGTTGCTAGGAGACGGGATGCAAACTGTATGGTATCTGTGGGTGTGATTTTTGAGAAGAAAAAGGGAGAAATTCTGAGTATTCAGACCTGACATTTTACAGCTTGGTGTGCTTTTTACTGTACATCCAAGCATCCTCTCCCCTCAGGTTGTTTACGCGCTTCCTTTTAAGCGTGCATGTGCATTACGGCTGCACGTGTGATGTGTTCATTTGGAGCCGAGAATCACTGGAAGAGGGAACATTTTCCACGTTGACTCCTGCAATGGCGTTTCTCGAGCACAATCTCAATACCAGCAACGCGGCAACCTTATCGAGTTTCACCGAATTCGCTCGTGTCTCAAATTGGAAGCCCTTGAAGAAGATATCCCGCTGTCAACGGGGATGAAGCGCCTTCGCCTAATCCTTTATGTACACGCAAAAATATGCAGGCGTGCCGGCAACACACGAAAAGCAGGCGACGTGGAAGGTTTTGTAATAGTTCAACGCCTTGCTGCAGCTAACATGAGTTAAGGGCTTAAAAAGGAAATAAACGCTGTAATTTTCCTGGTCAAGCACACACTCGGATATCAGTTTCATTAAAATATTCAAGGTGAGAATAATACCCCCTTTACGGCTTAGTCAAGAAGTCGTACAAACATTGGAAAAAAAGCCGCTTGTGCCACATGAATGACCTGGCCTTTGTTCCCGGCCAGCGTGCAGGCTCCAGAGGCACAGAAAAACCACTGCCCACAGTATGTTTGCTTTCACAGGCTGGAGGTAGATACAAAGACAACAACATATCTGTTTCCTTCCCTCATCTAGTGAGATCACAGATACCACGTTGCAAACTCTACCCATGCCTCCTAAGACTAAGATGACGGGCCAAAAAATCAACCGATCGTATCTGCAGCGCTAAAGACAACACAAAGCGAGTTCAGGCGGTGTGGGAAAGATAGCTATTCCCAGAGCCCGTTTCCTCGGTTTGTGAACGGACGCTCGTGCAGCGACTCGGGGACGATCTCACGCGTCGTGCAAAAGCGCGACTTTGCGTCTCTGCTGAGAGCATATCGACAGGTCGGATGATTTTCTAGAAGTCGGAAGGTTTAATCAAATTGGAGTTAGGCAGTCCTGAGTTATGAGAGATGACTCCTGAGCTTGGAAACATCACCACAGTGCTTTTCTGCTTTGAAAGGTGGATACAGCTAAGCACACAGCAGCCACCTGGAGCTGAATATGGCACCGTCACTCAGATTTGCTGCTAATTTGTCCCACAGGCCACTTCCAGTATTGCAAAAAAAAAGAAAAAAAATCACCCTGTCTGTCATCTAAAACTGCAAACAAATAAGAAAAGAAATGCTTAGGAGGAAAGCAAAAGCTCACTTCTTTTTTTTTCTGACACAGACTGATTTCAAAACTATATAGAGAACAAGAGGAATATTCAAAAGAGAACATAATCCAAGACAAATAAGTCTGAGAATGAGCCTCATCAGCATCACAACAATCAAAAGTTGATTAGACCAACGCCAGCTGGGAATTGTAAACGCCGAGCTTGTGCTGCGTGTGTAATATACAAGAAAATAAACCGGGCTTCAGTCATCAGCATACAGGAACAGCAATTCAAGCAGAGGGCATCTTTCAAGGTGCGATCTGTCTATTAGAAGAAACAAAAATCCCCCAAAACAACAAAGACATGTGAGAGGCGTGCTGTCTTCAAAAGAAAAATGACTTAAAATCACACCTTTAATCAGAGCCTGAAACAGTAAAAACAGAGGAAATATGACGTTTGTTCTTGAACTAATCACGTGTGATGTGCAGTTTGTTCTTTTGGGTAAAATCTGAGCCTAAAGTCAGGATATTTCATCACTTTATTCTACATGTCTTGTTTACAGCTTTTGCACCCAAAAAGCATTTAAAGTAAACAGATTCAGTAAAAAAAAAAGGAAAAAAATTCTGCACTCCTCTGCACAACCGAGAACTCATTAGTGACTCAGGTGCAACCGACAGTCACAAAAATTCAGGGATTTTGGGCTGAACGTGGCTGACTGCAGGCTCCGTGTACACAGAGCAGGAAGGAGACGGATTAAAAATGTAAATAGTTTGATATCAATACTGTGAATCCACGTTTTTTTTCCAGTGTCGGTATCACCTATAGGCACAAAATGTTGAGCGTGCTGATTTGAAGTTTTTGAGCATTTTAGCAAAATTAAATAATCAAAGAATTGTTTTTAAACTTTTTTTTTTTTTTCAGGATTTATTGCACCAGAACTTTGTTATTCTGCACAGAAGACATGTTTGAGTTGTTTCTGCTTCTAGCCATGGTTGTGCTTTTTTAAAAGAGGTGATTGCAGTGAAAAACAAGAAGTATGACAGAAACCAAAAAATAAATAAATAAAAATGCCCAGAACCTGCTTGGGGTTCAGAGTGACAGTAATTCAGGTAACTTAATGCTGAAATGATGCTGACGTGGGGAAAAAAAACAATCTTGGGTCAAAGTTTATGAGCCTCAGAATGGTAAATCAGTTCAATTCCTTGAACCGTAAAGTCCAAATGTCCATAATTCTGCTCCAAATTCAAAGTTCACCTCAAGAACGATCATTTCTAAAGTGTCGCCAGTTTCAAAATAATCCACTGACAGTCTGTCTGTGGTTACAATGAAAGCAGGAGCTATGATTAACTATGTATTTTACGTTTTTGTAGGTGTCAGTTTGACAAAATGCCGTCAAATGCAGACTTAAAAACTGGGTCAAAGTGTTACCTAACGACTAATAATAAAAAAAAAAAAAAAGGTAAAGAATAAAAGCCCAGAAGCAACGGAGATAGGGTGTAGATTAACAGCCGGGAGAGAAAGAAAGTGCTTGGCATAGTGAGGAGAGAGCTTAGATAAAGGATGAAGCTATCTTTGCCCTAACATGCTCTCTCATGACACCAATCTAATATCTATCCACTAAGCCTGTCCCTCACTTCAAGTCCTCTCTAAAGACTCATAAACCTCACTGTCTGCTCTCAAGAGTGCTTCTGTTCTCTTCCTCCTGCTGCTGCTGCCGCTCAGACACCTATAGTCGCATCGCCCTGCTCTTTAACAGCACTTCACTCACATCAACATATTTTCAGAGGCGGAGGCATGTTGGAGGTATGTGAGAAGGAAATTCTGTAAATGACGGGTAAATAGACATCAGAGGGAACATGTGCCTCCTTGTGCAACGGCAGAAAGCCGCTGGATATTTTTCAGAATTACCTCGCCCGTTATCAGATGCGCGGCTCCACGATCTTATTTACGTCTGGCACAACATTCCTTATTCCGACAGTAATGCTTTTTTTTTTTTTTATAACCTCCCAACCAAGTTTCTTGACTTTAAGTAATGAAAATAAGGACCTGAGATAAGTTGGACTTTCTCCAGAAGACCTAAAACAATGATAAAGTGCTTTAAATTAACTCCCAGCAAAGTATGTTCTGCAGCAGGGGATAAATGCATTTTTTATCAGATTGTTAAATTTGGACCAGTTGGATGCTGAAATTCATGTTGTGAGGTTGTAAGACAGATAGAGGCAGGATTGGCTTTCTCTGGCATCGTACCTGGACCATTTGTCTCTCAGTGTCTGACGTTAATAAATTGAAATAACTCCCTGACGTATGAATATTTGGTTAGTTGAGCATCAGCAGCAGTATATCTCAGCTCAAATTGTCAAACTGTGTGATGTTCTGTTAAAATATCACAACGCCAACGTGGATTACGAACGTGAATGAAACAAAAAGAATAAACTTTCGGTTAATTTAAGCAGTGTTTGAGTCTGACTTAGCAGATGTAGACTGCGGGTATAAGCCAGAGTTTCACATGGATTTCTCCTCCCCTTCCACTATCTACCCATCACAACAACAACAAGCTAGCGTTGCTGAGGTTTTGGATTGTGCAGTACGGCTACACTGCTAGTTATTTTCCGGTAAATTAGCCATTTTAACGACGCTGCAAGTGTTCCAGCAAACAATTACTCAGTAACTATTCAGAAGGGACTCCGCTGCTGCATCCTTCACTTCACCCAATATGACTGTGATTGGCTTAAAGAAATGAACAACAAGCCGGAAGGTTGTTTTGCTCCATATCAGGAGGATAATAGGATGAAGAATGGTCTGTCTTTGCAGGACTAACAGTGCTCTAACAATAGATTAAAACTTGCATTAAAGCTGACGTAGGCAGATTCTTTTTATGCATCATTGGTCAAAAAATCCATAATAACCTTTCAGAATATGTAATTCAAGCAGTTCTGGGGGGATAACCTGACTTCTGCACCTCCATGTTCAGGCTTACAAAGACCATGAGTGGCTTTTCATTTGATTATTTTTGTGCATTTGTTAGTGCATGCATATGTTTGTTAACTGGCCCTCTCTTCACTCCCGCAGGCAAACCCATTGGTATTTGTTCATTTCTAAAACTATCATAGGTCAAACTCTGGCATACCTACGTTCACTACTCATCACCCGTCACATCAGCCGCTCACTTCGCAACAGCAACCTCATCCACCTCCTCATCCCCAAAGCCTGCACTGTCTTTGGCCGCTATTCATTTCAGTTTTCTGCAGCTCTCGACTGGAACCAGTTACAAAAATCACTCAAACTCAGTGTATTTATATCTGTATCTTCTTTTAAAAATATGGTGAAACAACTTTTTATCGAGTCCTGTACCTGCTTTTAGTGTATTTCATCTTCAAAGACTTTTATTGTCACGTTTTGTTTGTGTATTCTTTTCTTATGGATGTATTGCATTTTCTGCTCTGTGCTGCCTCTTGACCAGGTCGTTATTGTAAATGAGAACCCGTTCTCAATTAACCTACCTGGTTAAATAAAGGAAAAATAAAATAAATAAATAAATGTTTGTACAGAGAGGACCTGCTCCAGATTTGTGGCCACTGCAGCTTTAAGAAATGACAGTGTAGTGATGCCAGGTGCTGACAGCAGTACCTGAGGTACAGACAGCAAGAAATAGCAATTTACACAGTATGGGAGTGTTACTGACACACAATCAAGTGAACACCCCGGACCAGGACAAGGGTAACTCGAACTTGGAAGATCAGGCTAATTATCTCCACACAGCAGCTCAAACTGCAGAAAGGAAAAAAAAAAAAGTGTTTATTCGGCTCACTCATTGTATTTTAACTCGCAGCAGCTCTGCCTCTCTGTCAAGTGTTTGTATAAATAAAACTCCAATCTGCCTTTTCTCTCCCTGTAGACTTTTCAGTGCCGTGCCGCTTTTCAGCTTTTGAGGGCAGCACAACTGTATAACCAGAGATGACAGTTTCCACAATCAAACCTCAGTGCACCCTGTTCTTTTTTTTTCTTCTTTTCTTTTTTTTCTTTTTTTCTGGGAAATAACAGACAGGTTGTTCCCTGGAACCATCCGCAGAGGCTAAAGCAACCCAAGACACCCAAAGTTATTTCAGTGCATTCACACGGAGAATAGTATCCCACAGTGTTTACCAGCAGTGTCTCATCAGAGGCTCATATCGCTTTACGTTATATACTTACATAACAAATTCGCAGCAACATATATCTATACATATTGGTCGTAGAATAACTATCCCATTTCCCCCCTCCCCCCGAACTTAAAGACAGAACATTCAAATCTCAATGTTCCTGTCGCACGTCAATAAAAACCATTGCACGCATTTCCATTAATTTATACGCGAGATAAACAAAACCATAAAAACGACTGAGCTGCAACCATTCAATCTGTCTTTTGAAAGTCCACACTTGCTTTTCGTAAGCATTTAGTGCAATAGGATCAAAATGAAGCGACACGAGTGTTATTCAAGAGCAAACAAAGAGAGATACTGTCTTTCATAAAAGCTCAAAGCGACTGAAAACA